AGTGTAACCTTCACTCAACCTGCTCTCAGGTTGAATATTGTTGTAGTGTAACCTTCACTCTACCTGCTCTCAGGTTTAATATTGTTTTAGTGTAACCTTCACTCTACCTGCTCTCAGGTAGAATATTGTTTTAGTGTAACCTTCACTCTACCTGCTCTCAGGTTGAATATTGTTTTAGTGTAACCTTCACTCTACCTGCTCTCAGGTTTAATATTGTTTTAGTGTAACCTTCACTCTACCTGCTCTCAGGTTTAATATTGTTTTAGTGTAACCTTCACTCTACCTGCTCTCAGGTTTAATATTGTTGTAGTGTAACCTTCACTCTACCTGCTCTCAGGTTTAATATTGTTTTAGTGTAACCTTCACTCTACCTGCTCTCAGGTTGAATATTGTTTTAGTGTAACCTTCACTCTACCTGCTCTCAGGTTGAATATTGTTGTAGTGTAACCTTCACTCTACCTGCTCTCAGGTTGAATATTGTTTTAGTGTAACCTTCACTCTACCTGCTCTCAGGTTTAATATTGTTGTAGTGTAACCTTCACTCTACCTGCTCTCAGGTTTAATATTGTTTTAGTGTAACCTTCACTCTACCTGCTCTCAGGTTTAATATTGTTTTAGTGTAACCTTCACTCTACCTGCTCTCAGGTTTAATATTGTTTTAGTGTAACCTTCACTCTACCTGCTCTCAGGTTTAATATTGTTTTAGTGTAACCTTCACTCTACCTGCTCTCAGGTTGAATATTGTTTTAGTGTAACCTTCACTCTACCTGCTCTCAGGTTTAATATTGTTTTAGTGTAACCTTCACTCTACCTGCTCTCAGGTTGAATATTGTTTTAGTGTAACCTTCACTCTACCTGCTCTCAGGTTTAATATTGTTTTAGTGTAACCTTCACTCTACCTGCTCTCAGGTTTAATATTGTTTTAGTGTAACCTTCACTCTACCTGCTCTCAGGTTGAATATTGTTTTAGTGTAACCTTCACTCTACCTGCTCTCAGGTTGAATATTGTTTTAGTGTAACCTTCACTCTACCTGCTCTCAGGTTTAATATTGTTTTAGTGTAACCTTCACTCTACCTGCTCTCAGGTTTAATATTGTTTTAGTGTAACCTTCACTCTACCTGCTCTCAGGTTTAATATTGTTTTAGTGTAACCTTCACTCTACCTGCTCTCAGGTTTAATATTGTTTAGTGTAACCTTCACTCTACCTGCTCTCAGGTTTAATATTGTTTTAGTGTAACCTTCACTCTACCTGCTCTCAGGTTTAATATTGTTTTAGTGTAACCTTCACTCTACCTGCTCTCAGGTTTAATATTGTTTTAGTGTAACCTTCACTCTACCTGCTCTCAGGTTTAATATTGTTTTAGTGTAACCTTCACTCTACCTGCTCTCAGGTTTAATATTGTTTTAGTGTAACCTTCACTCTACCTGCTCTCAGGTTTAATATTGTTTTAGTGTAACCTTCACTCTACCTGCTCTCAGGTTTAATATTGTTTTAGTGTAACCTTCACTCTACCTGCTCTCAGGTTTAATATTGTTTTAGTGTAACCTTCACTCTACCTGCTCTCAGGTTTAATATTGTTTTAGTGTAACCTTCACTCTACCTGCTCTCAGGTTTAATATTGTTTTAGTGTAACCTTCACTCTACCTGCTCTCAGGTTGAATATTGTTTTAGTGTAACCTTCACTCTACCTGCTCTCAGGTTTAATATTGTTTTAGTGTAACCTTCACTCTACCTGCTCTCAGGTTTAATGTTGTTTTAGTGTAACCTTCACTCTACCTGCTCTCAGGTTGAATATTGTTTTAGTGTAACCTTCACTCTACCTGCTCTCAGGTTTAATATTGTTTTAGTGTAACCTTCACTCTACCTGCTCTCAGGTTGAATATTGTTTTAGTGTAACCTTCACTCTACCTGCTCTCAGGTTGAATATTGTTTTAGTGTAACCTTCACTCTACCTGCTCTCAGGTTTAATATTGTTTTAGTGTAACCTTCACTCTACCTGCTCTCAGGTTTAATATTGTTTTAGTGTAACCTTCACTCTACCTGCTCTCAGGTTGAATATTGTTTTAGTGTAACCTTCACTCTACCTGCTCTCAGGTTGAATATTGTTTTAGTGTAACCTTCACTCTACCTGCTCTCAGGTTGAATATTGTTTTAGTGTAACCTTCACTCTACCTGCTCTCAGGTTGAATATTGTTTTAGTGTAACCTTCACTCTACCTGCTCTCAGGTTGAATATTGTTTTAGTGTAACCTTCACTCTACCTGCTCTCAGGTTTAATATTGTTTTAGTGTAACCTTCACTCTACCTGCTCTCAGGTTTAATATTGTTTTAGTGTAACCTTCACTCTACCTGCTCTCAGGTTGAATATTGTTTTAGTGTAACCTTCACTCTACCTGCTCTCAGGTTGAATATTGTTTTAGTGTAACCTTCACTCTACCTGCTCTCAGGTTGAATATTGTTTTAGTGTAACCTTCACTCTACCTGCTCTCAGGTTTAATATTGTTTTAGTGTAACCTTCACTCTACCTGCTCTCAGGTTTAATATTGTTTTAGTGTAACCTTCACTCTACCTGCTCTCAGGTTTAATATTGTTTTAGTGTAACCTTCACTCTACCTGCTCTCAGGTTTAATATTGTTTTAGTGTAACCTTCACTCTACCTGCTCTCAGGTTGAATATTGTTTTAGTGTAACCTTCACTCTACCTGCTCTCAGGTTTAATATTGTTTTAGTGTAACCTTCACTCTACCTGCTCTCAGGTTTAATATTGTTTTAGTGTAACCTTCACTCTACCTGCTCTCAGGTTTAATATTGTTGTAGTGTAACCTTCACTCTACCTGCTCTCAGGTTGAACATTGTTGTAGTGTAACCTTCACTCTACCTGCTCTCAGGTTGAATATTGTTTTAGTGTAACCTTCACTCTACCTGCTCTCAGGTTGAATATTGTTGTAGTGTAACCTTCACTCTACCTGCTCTCAGGTTTAATATTGTTTTAGTGTAACCTTCACTCTACCTGCTCTCAGGTTTAATATTGTTTTAGTGTAACCTTCACTCTACCTGCTCTCAGGTTTAATATTGTTTTAGTGTAACCTTCACTCTACCTGCTCTCAGGTTTAATATTGTTTTAGTGTAACCTTCACTCTACCTGCTCTCAGGTTTAATGTTGTTTTAGTGTAACCTTCACTCTACCTGCTCTCAGGTTTAATATTGTTTTAGTGTAACCTTCACTCTACCTGCTCTCAGGTTTAATATTGTTTTAGTGTAACCTTCACTCTACCTGCTCTCAGGTTTAATATTGTTTTAGTGTAACCTTCACTCTACCTGCTCTCAGGTTTAATATTGTTTTAGTGTAACCTTCACTCTACCTGCTCTCAGGTTTAATATTGTTTTAGTGTAACCTTCACTCTACCTGCTCTCAGGTTTAATATTGTTTTAGTGTAACCTTCACTCTACCTGCTCTCAGGTTGAATATTGTTTTAGTGTAACCTTCACTCTACCTGCTCTCAGGTTTAATATTGTTTTAGTGTAACCTTCACTCTACCTGCTCTCAGGTTTAATATTGTTTTAGTGTAACCTTCACTCTACCTGCTCTCAGGTTTAATATTGTTTTAGTGTAACCTTCACTCTACCTGCTCTCAGGTTGAATATTGTTTTAGTGTAACCTTCACTCTACCTGCTCTCAGGTTTAATGTTGTTTTAGTGTAACCTTCACTCTACCTGCTCTCAGGTTTAATATTGTTTTAGTGTAACCTTCACTCTACCTGCTCTCAGGTTTAATATTGTTTTAGTGTAACCTTCACTCTACCTGCTCTCAGGTTTAATGTTGTTTTAGTGTAACCTTCACTCTACCTGCTCTCAGGTTTAATATTGTTTTAGTGTAACCTTCACTCTACCTGCTCTCAGGTTTAATATTGTTTTAGTGTAACCTTCACTCTACCTGCTCTCAGGTTGAATATTGTTTTAGTGTAACCTTCACTCTACCTGCTCTCAGGTTTAATATTGTTGTAGTGTAACCTTCACTCTACCTGCTCTCAGGTTTAATATTGTTTTAGTGTAACCTTCACTCTACCTGCTCTCAGGTTTAATATTGTTTTAGTGTAACCTTCACTCTACCTGCTCTCAGGTTTAATGTTGTTTTAGTGTAACCTTCACTCTACCTGCTCTCAGGTTTAATATTGTTTTAGTGTAACCTTCACTCTACCTGCTCTCAGGTTTAATATTGTTTTAGTGTAACCTTCACTCTACCTGCTCTCAGGTTGAATATTGTTTTAGTGTAACCTTCACTCTACCTGCTCTCAGGTTTAATATTGTTGTAGTGTAACCTTCACTCTACCTGCTCTCAGGTTTAATATTGTTTTAGTGTAACCTTCACTCTACCTGCTCTCAGGTTGAATATTGTTGTAGTGTAACCTTCACTCTACCTGCTCTCAGGTTTAATATTGTTTTAGTGTAACCTTCACTCTACCTTCTCTCAGGTTTAATGTTGTTTTAGTGTAACCTTCACTCAACCTGCTCTCAGGTTTAATATTGTTTTAGTGTAACCTTCACTCAACCTGCTCTCAGGTTTAATATTGTTGTAGTGTAACCTTCACTCTACCTGCTCTCAGGTTTAATATTGTTTTAGTGTAACCTTCACTCTACCTGCTCTCAGGTTGAATATTGTTTTAGTGTAACCTTCACTCTACCTGCTCTCAGGTTGAATATTGTTGTAGTGTAACCTTCACTCTACCTGCTCTCAGGTTGAATATTGTTTTAGTGTAACCTTCACTCTACCTGCTCTCAGGTTTAATATTGTTTTAGTGTAACCTTCACTCTACCTGCTCTCAGGTTGAATATTGTTTTAGTGTAACCTTCACTCTACCTGCTCTCAGGTTGAATATTGTTTTTAATTGTATTGTGGTGATTATATTATATTAATTTACAAGTTGTTAAATATGGATACTTATCACATAATTCGCGATCGATTATAATAATCAGAACAGCTGATCTATGTTCCACTTCAGGGACAAGGAATTTGTGACGACTGCAAACACATGACTGAAGGAGCAACTTGTCAGCTGTGTACGGCTGGTGCCTACCGTACAGGTCCGGGCACGCGCAGCGTCTGTAACCCATGTCAGTGTAACGGACACCATGACCCGGCACGTGGGTACTGTGACAGAAACACGGGGCAGTGTCACTGTACCGGCCACACCACGGGCTTTAACTGTGAGCTTTGTGGCCAGGGGTACTACGGCAGCGCCGTGGACGGAGGTCAGTGTTACATGGTGGCGCGCTCCCGCGTCCAGCTAGCCAGCGTGGCAGATGGCGCGGTGGGGAATGTCCAGTCAGAGAGGCGGCACAGGTACTCGCTGAGTGGGTACGAGAGTGTTATGTGGTACATTACTCCTCCGTTAGAGAGTGTTAGTGTGGTGGTGTCTGTTAACGACTTCAAGTCTAACGCTCCTGATACACCGGGTTAGTTGCTGCTTAGTGTTGGGAAATTGGTGGTTTAGGAGGAACAATTATGTTTTTGTAATAGTTTCAGGGTACTTATATCGTAAAGAATAATAATATAACCATATTTAAGTTACCAGTTGCCTGATATTACTACATTACAACCTGGCTGAGTGACACCTTACTAAAGTCCCCCTCCAGGAGTCCTGTACATCTGGGAAGGGCTCCCAGCACACATCTCCGGGGCCCTCTCCTCCAACCTCACCTCACGTCTCCTCCTCCTCCTCTCCGCGGACATCTCCTCGTCACGTGACCACTTCACGCGTGAGACACGTGACCACGTGATGAGGGAGTTCAGTGCGCGCGGTGCTGTGACTGTGCTGTTTGAGGGCATGCAGAGCACCAAGTTTAACATCTCGTATGAGCTGAGGAACTGTACTCACAACTGCAGTGGTAAAGATGCCAGGTTAGGGCTCATCGGATTGTAGGGTTTGTGGGATCAGTTTAGTTTCAAGTAGATATTACTACATCCCTACATGGTTCTAAATGTGTTCTCATTGACAATTAATATTTATGTTATTTCCACAAATTTCGACATCAAAACCGTCAAACTCTTTTACCCATCAAATCGATATAGTTTAATGAATTTTTGAAAATGAATGTATTTCACGATCTTCTCTTCCTACCTTCAACTACAACAAACTAAATAACCAGTAAATAACGTTAGCTCTCTCGGTGCAGGTTTAACGCTACATGTGGGTACGGAATGGACTGCACCTGTGTGTCAGGGCACATGGGTCCCCAGTGTTACACGCCAGTCTGCCCCGATAACTGTAACAACCGGGTAAATTGATATCTTGTTTGGATTTTAAGATATCTTAATCGTGTTAATATGTTAGATTTCATGAGGCTCAAAATGTGTTAGTAACTGTATTCTCTGTTAATATTTTTAACCATAATAACACTTTTAACCATGTTAACATTGTTATCTAAATTAAGATTGTTAACCATTTTAAAATTGTTAACAAAGTATGATCTCCCCTGCAGGGTTCATGTGTAGAGAGTACGGGGGTGTGTAGATGTGACGAGTCCAGCTCCGGCATCTCGTGCAGTGACAGGAGTTCAGCCCAGATTACGTGGTCAGTCAAGAGTTTTGATTGGGTGCCACCCGGTCACGTGATAATGGGACCCAGGATGGGGCATTCCGCTGTCGTTATTGGGGGTAAGAGCTTCGTGAGATACTGCAATGTTCTCTTCATAGATTTTGATCTCTCGTCTGCAAATATTTCTATCTAGAAAATAAAATGTATCCACTTATCTGATAAAATTCAAAGTAAAAGTCTTAAAGCTTTGAGCAACTTAGCAACTTAACTCGCAAACAAGTAAAGGAGACCTCTAACCCCAGGTAACAACTTGACTGTTTACGGAGGGTACGATCTCTACACAATGTACTCTGATATCTGGCAGTTCGATACAGACTCTTTAACCTGGACACAGCTAGTTACTGCTCCTCATACCTCTGGTGCTTCTACTGGTGCTTCTACTGGTGCTTCTGGGGGTGAAGGATATCCTGCTGCTAGATATCTACACAGTGTTATTGTAGAGGATAACTCCATGTGTGTCATTGGTGGGTAACTATAGTTACACTTAACTTGAACACCAGTTTTGATATAGATTTAAGAGGGAGCGAGAGTTTGGTCAAAATAGTTTGGTCATCAATTAACTTTGAAACGTCTTGTCGATAGTATAAAACCCAATGAATACCATTCTAGTTGCTAGATTTTATTGTGTCATCTTAGGTGGGGTAACGAAAGAGGGACTCAGTAGTGAAGTTTGGTGTACAAGTTTAGGAGGAGATGACATTGTTTGGACTAACTTGCACTCATCTGGCCTACCTCCCATGGGTAATGTCACAATGTCACATTATACAGAATTTAGATATTATAGTAATAGCTAAATTTAGGTAAATTAAACTTTGAAAGCACAGAGCGCAAGCTTGATCCTTTATTATAAGATATTTCCTTGTGTTAAACATCCCTCACTCCAGCTGGTAGCAGTGCAGTTCGATACTCTGAAGAAACATGGTACCTGTTTGGCGGTGTAACTGAGTCAGGAGCCTCAAACTTATTGTACAAGTTTAGTGTGACGAAGAAACTGTGGAGTCTCGTCCCAACTTCAGGTACAGACAACGTTTAGATTTCCTCCAAGATTAGTTAACATTTAATACCATTTTTATTTAACCTGCATGATACATTATATTATTATGAATAGTGCATGTTAAGGAATCGTTTGTGTTTTGCTAAAACTGAACCTCAAACAACAATATTTTCATCTCATAAACTCATGATAAAATCAGCTACGTAAATAATCATTACAATATAATATAACCCTAAACATACCCTCTCTGTAGGTCTAGTGCCCCGTATGTAACCCTAAACATGCCCTCTCTGTAGGTCTAGTGCCCCGTTACCCGTATGTAACCCTAAACATGCCCTCTCTGTAGGTCTAGTGCCCCGTATATAATAACCCTAAACATGCCCTCTCTGTAGGTCTAGTGCCCCGTATATAATAACCCTAAACATGCCCTCTCTGTAGGTCTAGTGCCCCGTATATAATAACCCTAAACATGCCCTCTCTGTAGGTCTAGTGCCCCGTATATAATAACCCTAAACATGCCCTCTCTGTAGGTCTAGTGCCCCGTATGTAACTCTAAACATGCCCTCTCTGTAGGTCTAGTGCCCCGTATGTAACTCTAAACATGCCCTCTCTGTAGGTCTAGTGCCCCGTATGTACGGGCACAGCATGATCCTCCACAAAGACCGTCTCCACGTGATAGGGTCCCCGGGGTACTACAAGTACAGTGTTACCGCCCACACCTGGGTATCAGTCCCAGCAGATCTGCCGGAGGAGATAGTATCTAGTTTCCACAGTTCTACTCAGGATGTGGGGCTGGTGTATCTGGTGGGGGGAAGAAGTCGGGGAGTTCACCATCTCAATGGGGTAAGTTGACTTGATATGACGTATCAGATTGTTAATCTGGAGGGGGGATATTTAAAACATATAAGTGATACGAAAGGATTGTATTGGCAGATGTTATTTTAATGTTATTTTAGTGTCAGTGACAATTTGATTGGAAAATAATCTCTGCAGTTCGCTTTTTCACGTCAAGTCTGCTTGCTTGATTGCCATAAAACAATTGTAATTTCTTATATGAATTTTTTTGTCCAAGATCCGCTTTTATTCTACATATAAAATCCTGACAGGGTCTGTTCGCACTGCAACTAGACACAGGCAGCTACATCCAAATAACACGTGACCCTGAAACAGCCATGATCTCATCTAACCTACTATTCCTGAACAACAAGCTGTATCTGATGGGAGGGTTTAATGGAAGTGTTCACAGCCTGGTACTATCGTATGATTTAAGGGATAGTATCTGCTACTTTATCAGAGGTTAATTAAGGGCAATTAATTAATTTAGTAATTTAATAATTGACACTTAATTAATTAATTGTGTTGCTAACGTTTAAATAGTTAGCAGTCGACTGTTTGATTATTCTTATGAACATGAGCGGTATTACTGTATTATTATTATGATAACAAATGATTAAGTAACCAATGCAATAGAAGTATCGTATCTCTGGTGTAAGTGTAAAGTTATGAATGATTTTATTTAAACTCACCGTTATTTCTACCTCAGAGGAGGAAGAATGTAGTAGGTTCGGGTGTGCCTGGTGTGATAAACCTTTATATAGTCCTAAACCTTGCATTCCTACCCCAATTCTAGGGTGAGTGTAACATTGCTTTAACTTAGGTTTGGGCCTGTCCTTATTGAATCAGAAAGTATATTTAAATATTAATTTAATAATTATATTCGAATTCATGATAATATTAATATGTTCGAAACGAAACACTGTATTTACTACCCGCTCTTTTCTCAACCACATCCCTCACCAACCACTCTGTTTATACCAGATGTAAATACAACACATTGGACACCACATTGCCCTGTATCCACCACACAGACTGTTACTCATGCGCCTCCAACTCATGCTACTGGACATCTGCCAAGACGTGCAGCAGTAACAAGTCGCTGCGCACCACGTGCAATGGTGCTTGTAAAGACTGGAGCACGTGCACGGAGTGTCATGGAAACGCTCAATGTGCTTGGCACAAAGACACGTGCACACACACAAGTAATGTTGTGAGAAGTGATGGAAAGAGGTCTTGTCCAGTGGTTTGTGGTGGTATCGATGATTGCACCAGGTACTTTATAAATAACCAATTAAATTTATAATCAAATGGGTTATCTAAATCTACGATTTATTTTATTACCTCCGATTTAAGGTATCAATTGTGTAACGTCGACCGATAAAAGTGTTATATTTTTTTCTATCGACTTGGTAGACTGATAACCAAACATTCTGACCAGATGTACAGTGAAAGATGATTGTAGCTGGAGCTCAGCTTTAGAAACATGTCTGTCAGCTGAACTGCAGGACTGGTTCTGCCTCTTTAATCGGTATGCACAGCTGTTCGTAGGACTACACCATTCATTTAATCAAATTTATTGCTATTTAATAAAGCTGTAGATATGCAAATTATCGTAATATCTGCATAACTGCTAGTAATCTTGATAAACTCATTTAAAATAGTAGTACAACTGAAAAGTAACGTCATATTGTCGTCTGTAGATGTGATCTGTTGGTACATCCGGTACAATGCCCGGAACCATGCTCGTTACACAAGACCTGCTCAGTCTGCAAAGAACACAACCAATGTGGCTGGTGTGCCAATGGTATGTGACTTTCTGTTTCACTTTTACTTACAGTTTCACTTTCACTCAAAGTTTCGATTTTACTTTCGAATTTCACTCACAGTTTTCTTTTAATTCTCAGTATAGTTCGTTCTAGTCAAGCATTTTTGAGCGATTTCGACGACTATAATTAACTTCTTTTTTAAATACCCAGGTGAAGAAGGAGAGTGTCAGAGTGGAGATGTGAGCAACCCGCGCGACAGCACGTGCGCTAACTGGCACTACTTCACCTGTCCACTGGAGGACGAATGCGCGCTGGATGTTCACACGTGCAGACTAGACCAGCTGTGTGTGGATATGGAGGATGGTTACAACTGCACGTGCAGTAACGGCACTGTTAACTCTGACGAGGTAGACGCGTGTATCCCATCCTGCGCGGACACTGGATGTGATCACGGAGACTGTGTTGACGTGGGCATGTGTGTGTGTGAGTATGGGTACCATGGGGCAGACTGTTCCCTAAAGTGTGATTGTATGGGACACAGCGAGTGCGCTGAAGACGGCTCATGTTTGAAGTGTGAGGGTAACACCACAGGGTCGAGATGTGAACACTGCTTGGATGGGTTTATCCTCAAGGGAAAGTACTGTATATCCTGCAAAGAGCTGTGTTATGGCCACTCTAACACGTGTGTCGATAACAGGGTCCCCGCAACAACTGCCACCCAATCATTCAAATACTTGTTGTTCGAGCGCGCCAAATGTGAGGACTGTCAGAACAACACAGTCGGCGACTATTGTCAGAAATGTAAATCACCGGACTATTTCCGGGATCCCGTATCGGGAGAGTGTCGCGAGTGCACGTGCAACAAGCACACTTGGAAGTGTAACCCGGAGACGGGCCTGGACTGTGACTGTCAGAACCACACCCGGAGCAGTTACCAATCTGAGGGTGGAAAGTGTGTAGACGCTCAGAACTGTTTCTTGTACCAGTGTGACATATGTCAGTACGGTTACTCAGGAGACCCTAGAAACGGGTCTTCCTGCTTTCAGACCCTAGATAGAGACAAGGTGTATAACTTTACAGGGCGAGAATACTTTGCAAGACCTTTTCACATACCCTTGCAAGGCTCGTCGGACCACTGGGTCTACATTGAGATGAGGGACCTGGTGGGAACTGTGTACGCTAGTATGAACCCTAGGGAATATAGGATTTATTTAGACGAGAAAACGAGGAGCCATGGAGTTCATCATGAGTCATTCTACGAGGTAATCTTTGAATCAATGATGAGTAAGAGAATTTAACTAAATAATGAAGCTGTGATACTCACATCAATATGCCATCAAATTCAAAGAATTTGTTATTTGATTTAAAGTATCTCGATATTGCAGGTACACAACAGCAAAAGAAGTGCTCGATACACGACACATCGCTGGGATATAAAACCCATGAAACCTTGGATAGCTGGTAACTAACTACATTAAAATTACTATTTAAAACTAACTCTTGTTATTTTTCACCTGTCTCATTTTTCGTGAATATAATTTCTTTCCGTCTCTTTTGCTCTTGCGGTTTTCACTTTTCAATACATTTTGTAATATTGCAACGGAGCAGATTATCATAATTTCCTAAATTTCCATAACACAGGAGTAGAAGAGATAGATACCCAGTACAACTATCTTCAAACGGAAATGAACTGTGAACGACGGCTAATCAAATACTCGCCCATGAAACACGGACCCAACACCGGGATTTACCTGATCATAGAGACCAAGATGACGGGAGGTCACCTCAAGATCCAGTGGTATGTCTCCAACACTGAGTACAACTACTACCTCACTGCTAACCTCCTGTCCAGCGGTCTCATCCTCATGCTTGTCTTCTATTACTTCATGACTAATGCCATCAACTCCCTGATTTATCTGTGGCAGCAACGGGCAGGTCGGCGGGCGAGCGTTAACAATCGCCCGAAATGTTTAGTGAGTTTGTGTCTGGATATCAGCGACTACAAGCACCACCATTTGAGGTGTAAAAGAGGGTATACTCTTCTTCCTCAAAATGAAGCTCTACCACCAATAACGCCAGTAGCAACCCAGGAGTATTTTGTAGCGGATGTGCGCTGTGGGTTGAGCACCGTGTTGATTAAACTACCGGGACAGCAAATGTTTCCTAAGTTGATGTTTGGGACAGCTGTGTTCAAAACTGGGGATAAGTCTTTGGATTTCCGGTTGGGCACCCCTGATGAGGTTATCTGTGAAACGTCAATTTGAAAGTTTCGAGATGTTATTATTTTAGATTTTTGGTGGCTCTTGAGTTTAGGACCAAGATCTTTGGAGTCGACTCCATTCAATTGTTTTTATTCTTAACCTTGTTTTTTTTATTCAACATTTTTTATTCTTGTACAGAGCTCTATTTTAACGTTTTACTGTAAGTATTTTATTTATCATTTTATACATTTATCAATCGATTGTTTGGTTGGATCAAAACTTTAATTTGAATCTCATTGGCAGTTTTACTGGAAAACCAATAGTTGAATGGAATTTATAATATTATAACCTTGAAAATTATCCTATATTATCCAAATATAGTTGTAGTACTGCCTCTTGACTTTTGTATCTCAAATTGTCCCTATTTTCCTAATTTTTAACTTACTATATTATTATGGCCATATTATAATTATAACTGTTAATAAATAACATCCTTTTCTAAGGAAGGATGTGATTATCGGAGGATGTCCTACAGTAGTACATTGTGTGCCACTAGGATCAGGAGGAGAAATACATTGTCCATGTGGGCGAGGTACCATTTGCATTGTCATAGTCATATTTACCCTCTATTCACTGGCCACATTTTTGACGATGACTTAATTATTTTGTTGAATATTATTATATATTGTTGGCCCATACGATGTACAAGTAAAACGAAGAAAAGCCTAATTTCTTTATTTGTAAGTTGCCCGCCATTTCTGATGTATATAAAATGTTATGTTTTTAAAATTCAGATACACAATATTACTCTCTAATATTATTATGTAATAATATTATGTACTATTTCATGCCACTAATATCAGCAATGTCTCTTAAATCTGCTCTTGGGAAGCACCTGGTAAACGGTATCTTGACTAACGGAGGCTTTAGTCAGAAAACAATGTCACACCTGAAGTTAGCGGACGCTATCCCGGGAACGGTAATATTATAATTTATAGTATCATAATATATATCTTATAATAGTTATATTCTTTATTAGACAGTCATAACCGACCGAACCAGTTTTTTGTCTAAGCTACTGCTTTCTTGTGTGGCCTTCATAGAGTGAGATAGTGAACCTTCTGAGGGTGCGATATCACATTTGCTGCGGTGATAGCCGATACACTGGGCGGTATATTCCGAAATCAATCCTTCATGCCCTTTTTACTGTATCATGAACATTGAACAACCATCCAAAACGAACCCAAAGTCATGCTTAGGCTGCAGGATGGCATTCACCAGGGCAGTGTTAAAGGAACTGAATAAAACAACATTGGCTGCCGGTGGTTTTGAACAGAAGACATTGTCTCATCTCAAATTGGTGCAAGCTACTCCAGGAATGGTAACGTTCTTTCCAAGTCTAAAGATAATTATTTAATCATTATGATACAATATGTGATTATACAATTACAGAATTTTGTAATAATGTTTTCTGGCTGAGTTTCCTTGGAAGAAGCCCATGGCCATTGAGTAGAATGGTCTTCCGAATAATAATCTAAGGTGAACGATCTAGTATTGCATAAAATCATAACAATCAACCACCACAAAAAAATGCTTTTACTCTTTCAATAATAGGCTAAGGAATGTCTTTTACAAGAGCTGTCTCAAAAGAGCTGACTAAGACTATGTTGTCTTGTGGTGGTTTTGGTGACAAGACCATGTCCCATCTGAAAGTGTTGGAGGCTACACCAGGAATGGTAAAATTCATTGATTCAAATTGCATATCTTGTACATCTTTGGTATCGCCGGAATGTTTAAGAAGGCGGGTCTAGCTATGAAGACCACATTAGCTCCCAGAGCTCTCTTTTTTGCTTTTTAAAGTTGTAGTTTATTTTAGTTAATATTGGTTTGTGTTTTGGCATAAAGAGTGAGTTTGATATTTGCAACCCACTTGCTGGTGCGTTTTATGTGATGTGTGGTTAATGCTTGTGACCAGCTTTTTTTAAGAGGAAAGAGCCTACTTAAACATTTTGCAATGAGTGGCACCATACATCCATAATATAATAGCTAGTACCAATTCTGAAGGAAACAGATTGTAAATCGGAGAGCATGATGAAGATGCGGCTGATAAATGGAATTTCTACTGCATAGAGTATCAGACAGTTAGTTATTCAGTTGCTAAATTGTTGCATCGCTGTTTTTAACCAATGTTTTCTTGTGAGTGAAACAGTTATTAAAAAATTAAAGCATTAAACCAACAAATTGATATCATTTTGAAAATGGCTGAGATTAGAATTACGGCTTCTGGACAAGATTTGAAGCTTTGCAGATCGCTTAAACCTATAAAACTCATTCCGCAACAGCTGTACCTGCTATTTGTTGGGAGGGGGGGGGGGGGGAGCCATGAGTATTTGTACAGCACGTTATTTGAATGTATGTAAAATGTTAGTTTGTTGCTCTACCCAGCATGATAAATTGAAACTTTACTTTTTATTAAAAAGGACAGTGTCCAATCTTGCAATGGGCACTGTTCTTCGACTATCAGAATACCTTTGGCACTGGAATTCTGTTCCTCTTATAATCATTACAGACTTACAGTGCGTTAAATGGCATAATTATCTTTGGCTAGATAAGTTTGTTTTGGTTAAGCAGAACCTAAAAAGCTAATTTAATTTTCAAAAAATACTAACGATTCCTCACAACCTATATATCGTGTCAGGTGAAGTTTAACTTGACAGTAGAGAAGGGAGACTCCAATATATACGACACTATGCACGGTGGTCTGGGGGCTAGTCTGGTTGACTTGTGTTCTTCTGTCGCTATTCTTTCCAAGTATGTTTATAAACTTATGTTTATAAGTATGTTTAAGTATGTTTATAGCGTGGCTAGTTAGAGTCTAACTATTAGATAACATTTTCGACATCGTCCAAAATCCAACTATCAAATTTCAATAATTTTGCCAAACAATATTCGATTTAAATAGCAACATTAAAAGCATCGTTATATTAAGAATATCATGTTCATTCCTTGGAAGCATGTAAAATGTTATGATCAGACATTAAAATTGTTATTAAGATATAACTTACCTACACGTAACCGCCAAAACGCCAGATGCAAGAGATGGGGAGTGAGCACTGACATGCAAGTATCCTACCTTAAAGGAGCCCCCGTTGGCAAAGACATCACCATAGTAGGGCAGTGTGACCGCGCAGGGAAAACCCTGGCGTTCAGCTCCTGTTTTATATACAACGAAAAGGGGGACCTGCTGCTGAAGGGACAACATACTAAGTTCATGGGAACTCCTCTTGTGGAGCTGGAGCTGGATGATTAGTTGGATTGATGGGACATATCTTAATTAAGTAGTCGAGTTTTTTATAATTTCAGGAGCGCTGTGTTGCCAATCATAGGGGAACAGCTTTGTTTGTATAAAATATCTATTCTAAAGTTATACGTCTTACTGATGTTATCGTTTCTGATGCTTCTTGGGAATTTTTTATGTGAGTTCAGTTTTTAATCATGTAGTTGAAATTTTTAGTACATATATCGATTTTTTATCTTGGTCAGATCTCTTGATTTTCGTTAACTGCAATTTTGCAGAATAGTGGTTAGAAAGTAGGAATTGCAGAGAGTATTATAGGGGTACCAGCTGGTGCAGATGTATTGGTCTCAAACTCTAGATTAATTAAAAGTAGAACCAAACTCAGTTTTTTTTTCAAAAGAGAGTAGGTACATTTAGTATAAAGGTATAATCTTATAATGAGACAATTCTTTATTGTTGAGCAACAAAAATAAAAGACACAAAAAAAACTTAACTTTGAAAACATCTCATTGACAGACTTGTGAGCGTAAAAACGTGAACGTGAACTTTTAAAACAACAATTTTGATCGCTTGTGTTCATGTTCACTAAAAAACCGCCCGAAATCTGTCCGTGACATGAATATTATGTAGAGGGCAAAAGTTAAATTATCCCCTACCATAACTCATACATAAATACATACATTTACTTAAATAAGGATTCTATCATTCTCCTACATGAAATTGTTCATAATAAATTGGTCGACCTTCATCCTGCTCAAAGTTAAATGTGTTTTATTGTTACATCTTGAAATGTCAATTTGGATCTCAGTATTGGGAGTCATAATTATAATAAATTGAAATTTAATAACACCGCTATTAAGATAAAACCTATACTCAGCAGTTTTTAAACTATTCATCCCAGAAAATTTCCTAGAAATGAAAAACTTCGTCTGATTGTCCCATTACTGAGGTTAGATATCTCCCAACAGAACTTTTTGTACACCTCTACGAAAATCTGGAATGACCTCAGCCCCTATGTATTCGAAATATGTGATGCTAATGTAGATGGGTTGATAATCCCGGGTTCTTCCAAGAATTCAGACTTATCAGCTTCGTCAGGTGTTATTAAATCTAACCTTAAAAAGCACTTGCTATCCCTCCAAAATCGAGATGACCCTAATACATGGTAACTAATCTATATTATATCTCAAACTCTACATCCGGTACGGCTATGCACACATGATATCTCTCTCTGCCATGAAACATGGCTAACCTTTTAAACTGTGATTCAAAACCTAAAGCTAAACTAAAACTCAACTGGGCTCTCCTTTGTCACCAAACTAAACCAATAAGTAATTTAAGATTATTATATTTTTCTATATTAATTGTATACTGTAATTAGTATATTGACGTAGTGGATGGTTGAGGGGGTTTCAAGCACAGGTCACTCTCAAATCCTAAAGATAAACATTTGCCTTCGGCACTTGAAACCTCTTCAAACCTCCCCTGATTTATTTATTATTGATATTGTTTGATTGTGCCGTAAAAATAAATATTTGTTTTATTAATATTTGTTTTAAATATTTGTTTTATTAATAACATGAATACTTAGTTTAGAAAAGTAGCTTATGCTCGAAAACATATCGTCAATACTTAAGCCAGAAAATGGTACTTAAACATATTATGCAAAGATCAAACACCAGACAAGACAAACATAGTTATCGATAAAGTTTTTCAAGTTGATCTGGGGACACTTTAAAAAGGTACGCTTTTAGAAGAGCCTTAAAAGATTGCAGGGATTGAGCTGAAGAGATGGTAACAGGCAGACGATTGTAGATCTTTGGAGCCACTACAGAGAAGTCATATCTATAGTATTTTAGCTTATCATGCATATTATGATAAATAAACTGTTTAACATCACTATTCACTGTGTGTCTCAATTGGAAGAGCTACTTTTTTCAATTTTCTTGTTGTTTGTCCATCGTCTTTCGAGACCCCATCTCAATCACCTCCGTTATCTGTTGAGATCTCTGTGGTGATCGCCTACAGACTGAGAACATTTCTAAAAAGGATTGCCTCATTGCCAGACTCCGTGAGATAATGATCACAGGGTTCAAAGCTGCATTTAGTATCGGAAATAGTGTTCCAAACACTGCCAAACATAGAACTATTTTCTCATCTTCTTTGAGAATAATTATTTTATATTCTTCCCAGGAAAGTTCATTTTGTCTTCCTGTGAAGAAACCTAACATGTTAAGCAGATAGAAGATGCAAAGAATAGAATTACAGACAAAAAAAAGGGTAGAAATAAGGATAACAGTGATAGTTACTTCACGGTTAAAGGTTGTGGTTAATGTCGGGAACTCATTTGATCTGTACAGAGAAATCACCTGAATAACACATGTTACGAAAACAATTACGACTGGCAATACAAACGCTATCACTTGTAGCGCTGCAAATTCATCTCCATTAAAGAGTTCTCTACCCATATAATGTGTCATATCTCCTTGAGCGTAAACGTTGCGACTGTAACTATTAAAATAATTGCCAGAGATATATCCTTGGGGGTCACTATCAACAGGTTCATCCCAATCGTACTGCCTGGACTGAAATTCCAATTCAAATCCAGCGATCACGATCCACAGTGTAGCATAAAGAGCACAGCATACTACAACTGCTTTGATTTTGATGTGATAAAATGGGCTGACGATCATTACTGTCCTGGAAACAGCTAGCACCAAGTTATTAAATATTGAGGATCTGTAACTAATGTGAGCCAGAGTGTAACTGACGGCAGCATTTATATTCAGTGTCCGCAGAGAGATCATATCTCTCGTGTACAAAGGAATGATTATTGACTGGTAGATAACCCCAACAGCTGTCAAAATATCTGCTCCTGATATTACTGTATAGAGAAGAGGGACCAAGGCGACATCTTTCTTTCTATAGAAATTTATGACGAAGATGCCGAGGAAGATTGTCATGATGCTTAAGACAATACATGGTATGCTGATGACAACGTAGTGTTCCAAACACCTCATAAAGCTATCATATTGCTCTTCATTTTTCCATGGAACCCATTGTGTTGATCTTGATGGTGTTTGTTGATCAGTAGAGTCAGTCATCCTTCTTACGCTTCTTCATTTTAACTACGTCATCCTGTGAGAAGTATAACATTTGATGATTCAGCGTTTAGCATGTAAATAACATGTCACATGCTTATTTTTCTCAATTTAGCACTTCTTTAAAGAAAAATATAGGCTGAAACCATTTTAGTTGAATAACTGTTATCAATTAAAGAACACGGAAAAGCAAAACCAACTATTTATTAACGACACAATAAATTGTATCTCCTGAGTACAGGTCTGTTAGGAAGGACAATCTAGTTCATAAGCTAAGGACAAGATATATTGATCATATAGAAACGATGAATGGGTTTATGGTTTATAGTGGTATTATTGATATAGGCATTGCATTGTTAAAATGATATAGAGCAACTTTTTAATGATTGTGAATCAAAAGCCTAGCAGGCAGAATGCAGATCCCCTACAAGGAATAAGAATTATTATGTTTAACCTGATATTCTAGCATCAAAAGTGGAATTCCTGATTTTATCTTTTATCATAATATAAGGAGTTGTACTTTTGGTCATTTTTACCAAGGTACCAAGTGTCGGAAATCACGTCGACTTAGTGAAGTTTTGGATATTTTTCACTAGACACACCCACTCCTTAGCCTTTGCGGTACTAACTGTTCTTTTGGATAATACGTAAGACACCCACCCTTTTGCCGCCTTTTGCGGTACTAACTGTCGAAAAATCGTGGTACTAACTGTTTTTTGGTATATAGAATAAGATACCCACCCATAAATTGCTTTAAACAGCTCATTAAACATTGGAAATGGGAAAATTATACCCACTATTTAGTACCCAATGATCTATGAATGCGCTAACCTCACTCTTAAAACACTTGAAAAATCTCAAAGATAACTCCCTCGTCTTCTTAGCATTCAAGGAACAGATGAATATGAAATGGACTGGTACAGAGGTTTGGAGCCTGTCCTCGCGCTAGACCCATGTTTCTCTACCGATCATGTCACAGCCTACCGCACACTGAAAACAATCACTCCAAGTTAATTTTGGAAAGAAACCCGAGTATCGCGAAACCACCAAAAGAAGACTTTCTTATTCACAACGGTTTCAAGAAACAAATTCCTCCGCAATCAACAAAAACAGCTCATCGGGAGTAAAATATTTGTAATGTAGCTTTAGAGAATATTGGGGGTATCTACACTTCTCGGAAGTTAGAATTTTATCGTGACCTAAAATCCAAATTCAACAAAGAATATTACCTAGACAGTGTCATTAAATATGCAGACCGTGCTAATATCACAAGACTACGGATTAGTGCACATCGACTCGAAATTGACTTTGGCCGATATATTCAAACTCCTCGAGATGAGCGAATAAATGCTCCTGGTGCAATATAGTATTAGGTTCTGGTATTATTGAGAATGAAGATCACTTCCTTAACCATTGTGATCTTAACACTGCATCGAGGCGGAAAGTCCTAGACTCCTAGACAAGATCCAGTAAATCATATCAAATCCAAACACACCATCTGTGACATCTTATCCTCTTCACACTGTCATCCTTGGAGCAAACGTCTTCAATCTCATCAGCAGCAACAGTGAAATCGTTGAATTAATCACGAACGAAAGTCAAGTCCACCTCACGAGAGTCGTTGCTAGATTTAACAACCTCAAGAAATTCGTCGACTCTCTGGCCAGTACATGAACACGGAACATCACTGTACCAGCGCTTTTTTCTTTTCGCGCAACAACGACTGCAAAGTGGCCTGGCTCAAGCATTACCAAGGGAAACAAAATAATTATTTTCAAAATTTTTATTTGTCACCTTTGTTTAAGTTATATTAATATAATAAGTTTAAATCTTATGATATTGTTATTATCCTTGCCGCCTTTTGCGGTACTAACTGTCGAAAAATCGTGGTACTAACTGTTTTTTGGTATATAGAATAAGATACCCACCCATAAATTGCTTTAAACAGCTCATTAAACATTGGAAATGGGAAAATTATACCCACTATTTAGTAGGGGTTTTGTTTTCAATGTAGTCGAATTAGATAAAAAGTTACACCAAAAAGTTTAAAATTACAAAAAACCCAAAAAAAACTCAAAAAAACCTCAAAACCCATTCCCAAAATTGAAATTAGAGGTAAAATAGTTTTTTTTGGGTTGGACACCCAAAAAATGAACCCCTTAGTACCATATACTAACTGTTTTTCTGGAAAATGGGCAGCAGACCCACCAGTTAGTACCATGTACTAACTGTGTTTTTGGGAGAAAAAATGACCCACCCACCAACGTGATGTCCGGCACTTGGTACCTGATCCCCCCCCCCCCCCCCCCCCGCATCACTCGCAGTCAGCCGCTCTGACATGATTAACCACCTTCCTTGTGTTGTTGGTTAATCATATGAGCGGGATATTAATACCTCATTTCATTCTTAAATAACATGGTCCACGAGTTACAATGGTGCAAACCGGTAAATCCCCCATGTTACAGTTAGGATACTAGTTTCTATGCACTCAGAGGTTTCATTCTTTTGTGATGTTTTAATTGTGTCGTGCATCATTGGAAATAGTATTTGAATAGCAAACGACCACAGCAAAGATGAAAACATTTAGACTTTTTCGTAAATTCACGTTTGCTGCAAAATTGTGATCAAATTCAAATTTGATTAAGAAACCTGTACAGGTTCAAGAAAGTTAAGGAACCTGATCTTGGCACATACCTGATCTCCTACTGCAATACTCAAATATTCATTTTGAGGGTCCAATATTTTCAAAATTGAATAAAAACTTTTAAAGGCCTATCTCAAAATTTCGTCTCAATGATCTCTTCTAAATGGTCCCTAGAACATATCCTGATAGTTCCAGGGTGATTACTCAAAAAAATCTAGTCTGAAAAGATAGTATATTCTATAAAATAGTTCAAACATCTGGGTGTATTAAACTCTTTTATAAATTCGAGCATGCATCTGTTTATATAACATTGTATGATGTGGCGTCTGTAAAAATATAATTATTTTGTCTACATTTATTTTTTCTAGATAGATCTTGGCAAATTTCTAAAACTTGAATGATGGTATTCGATATAATGTTACACAAATATTCACCACTAGTTACATGTGAAAGGTAATCTGAAAAAGAATGGTCAAACAACGTGAAAGGAACAAGTTTCACTTTCAGTCATTCAACGATCAACTCGGTGGTATCAAGGTAAGCAGAATGATATATTATATAGCCCTGAATGCCGGTACTGATGTGAACTATATTTAATCTGACACGGATCAATGTGGACCCTGACACAAAAACAAAATTTCAAACTAGTATTCTCAAGAAAATTAGCCTTAGAAAAAAAAATGTCACCTTCACTTTCTTAAATGGTCACTGGGTGTAAATCGTAAAGCCAGCAAAGCAGGCGTCTGGGGTGAGTCAGGCCGCTACCCAATGATCTATGAATGCGCTAACCTCACTCTTAAAACACTTGAAAAATCTCAAAGATAACTCCCTCGTCTTCTTAGCATTCAAGGAACAGATGAATATGAAATGGACTGGTACAGAGGTTTGGAGCCTGTCCTCGCGCTAGACCCATGTTTCTCTACCGATCATGTCACAGCCTACCGCACACTGAAAACAATCACTCCAAGTTAATTTTGGAAAGAAACCCGAGTATCGCGAAACCACCAAAAGAAGACTTTCTTATTCACAACGGTTTCAAGAAACAAATTCCTCCGCAATCAACAAAAACAGCTCATCGGGAGTAAAATATTTGTAATGTAGCTTTAGAGAATATTGGGGGTATCTACACTTCTCGGAAGTTAGAATTTTATCGTGACCTAAAATCCAAATTCAACAAAGAATATTACCTAGACAGTGTCATTAAATATGCAGACCGTGCTAATATCACAAGACTACGGATTAGTGCACTGTACCAGCGCTTTTTTCTTTTCGCGCAACAACGACTGCAAAGTAAAGTGGCCTGGCTCAAGCATTACCAAGGGAAACAAAATAATTATTTTCAAAATTTTTATTTGTCACCTTTGTTTAAGTTATATTAATATAATAAGTTTAAATCTTATGATATTGTTATTATCCTAACAGTTACTATTGTAACTTAAGATTTTAAAGTTTTATTCCTTGTAAGGTCGGAGTAAGAAGGCTAGCAAAAGCAGATGATTGTGAGGACAATGACACCCAGACAAACCAATCTCTACAATATTGGCGGGAGATGAACTGCTCTGAACAATTTGGTATGAAACCTTGTGGAAGTTCTCTGTAAGATTATTGCAAATATCGTTATAAAATTATTCAAATATCATCAGGATCACGTAAAAATATTGGCTTTTTGTTGGTCGGACAATACTTACAATTGGGGGGGTAGAGGGTGTCACGTCCGTCTATGTCCGCTTGTCTCATAGAATCCAAAAAGGGCAGGACATTGGCGGACATTAGTGGACAAAAGTGGACAGCAACCTTTTTCTAAAATTAAAAAAATACAAAATGAGAACAGACTAAGAATACACTGACTCACGGGTCTGTGTGTTGGTATTTATAGACATGCAGCTCTGAAGCGAATCATAATGCAGGATCGATATCACGTGACCATGGGCAAGCCAATGATCTACAAACAAATGGAGCGGTTCTGCGCAGCTTGACATTTAAAATATTGGCTTTGGTTAGGGTTAGGTACAACATAGATTATTTTTAACAAAAGGTGGTAAATTATCTAAAAGGAATAAGACCGATCATGCCCGACTTTTCCGTGAGATAAAAAAATAAACGTGACATAACAGATGCTGAGCTGAATAATAGTACAGAAATTAGTTGACCAATGAAATCATTTTGACGAAATATTTTGATAAGGAATAATGATTGGAGCAAATCATCGAATTGAATTTGATTGTTCTGAAAAGCCAATCAAATTCAAAAGTCATAATGTGTTCAAAGCTATCTATTATTGTAAAATTAGTTCACCATCAATAATTTTGACCATAGACTCCGTGTCTGACTTGTCTGGCTTGTTGATTAAATTACTGTAGTTCTCGTGCCATAGTGTTGATTAGCACAAAAGGATACAAGGCCTATGCCTTGGAAACTACAATTCAATTGTTGGTAGCTTGGTCCAATATATTTAAATATTTGATCCTGTGATTCGTACATGTTTCATGCTACCCTGAGGCCTGATCATTTTGACCCGAAAATATTTTTCGGTTTTCGAAGTCCACGCCTACCCTTCGATATCCGATTTCGGACTTGAGGGTCCCCTTTGTAAATTTGTAATGCGATCTTGGAAGGCAGACCTCCCTTTAGCAATACGAGCTCGGTAGCGAGAGCTCTGTCTTCAGAGGTATGTATCGATAATGACTCGGACAGAAAGATTTCTAAGTCGACATTTTTCAAAGTTTTTCTGGAAACTACTTCAGTTCATGTTTCATTCTACCCTGATCATTATGAGCCGAAAATGTGATTCCAAGTTCGGTTTGAAAAAGGGGAGGTCCAGGGGCGGCTCGTGTGGGCATGTGGGCGTTCAGACGCGCCCACATAATTTTCAACTTAAAAATTAAGAAATTTTTAATTTAGATTCGATGAAGTCGCGTAAAATGTTAACGCGCACGGACTAGCGACACCATAAAGCCGCGCAATTTTGGGGCAATTTAGACACTTAAAATTTGACTTGCGAATCGAGGGCTATGCGTGTAGCGTGGGCGATTTGAAGCACCCACAATCTCAAATTTTACGTGTAATTTGCAGTAGGGGCTGGCAGCTCATGAATCTGAGTGCAGATGTGTATTTTAATATAAGGTGGGGTCGTCTACACCCCCACTTTTTCGCGTGAGGTCCGTCACGAGCCGCCACTGGGGAGGTCTGCTTTCCGAGATTGAATCGAAAAGGGGATGCCTCGATAGGTTATGAATATAGGCTTCTTATGAGTATAAGCTCCTTCCAATTGATCAAATTATGTGCACAAAATTCTCATAATATTTGTCCGCTAATGTCCCAAAAGACACGCCCGTTGTCTCATAGAATGCATAAAGTACAGGACGTGACATTGGCGGACATGTCACCCCCCCCCCCCCCCGATATGATGAACAATAATTTATAAAAGTAATCAATCCAATCAAATCACTAAAGCCATACCATACACTATCCTGTCTCATACAATTGCTATATTTTGACCTTTTGAAACTTCTCCCGCCCCAGTGCTGTGTTACGGAAAACTTAACACAATAACAGAGAGTCTACCACAACTTCTCCACCACAAAGATACGATAGTAGATATTATCCTGGACTCTCTGCAGGTATCTTCTTTCGAACTTTTATACTTTTATAATTCATTTTAATTCTTTATAGTTATTATTAGAAAGCCCGTGATCACAGGGAGAAAGGTATGTAATAGTTTTGTTTGATAGTCAGTTTTTATCGCATCAATGAATAATGAATATTCATCACAACCGATGATACAACCCAATAAAAAATAAAATGTAACTCTCACTGAACACAACGTACTAACAACAAAAACGATCACAATGTCGATCTAATATTCAGCAAGCACAGATGTTCAATGCTTGCTTCCACCTTAATAATGTTAATAACTTCATAATTTTATGATACGTCATGATTAATTTACATTGACTCTCTCATAACTTTTGCTGATATCACTGTGAAGCTGTGGTTTACTAAATAAAAATTATACTGAAATACGCTGTTTGTTATTTAAATGGCGCTTGATTTGGCGCTCTAAGTGGTACATCACTCATTTACTCTTAATTTAGAGTTGTTAATGTTTTCAATATTTTCCAGGATACAACAGGCAGGCACGGCTGTGATGCTGTTTTGGATGTGCTTTCTCGTGTTGCTCTTGACTTACAACAGGTACTAATTTGAGAAACTTACTAATTATTCAATAAATTAGAATGTTTAAAGAAAGTCTAGAAATATTTAATATATTGCTTGTTTCATCGAACAATAACACGTCTTATTGTTATGATTATTGTCAAAATATCTTAAAACAAAGCCCAACCTTTTCTAGGTAATCCAAGATATAAAAATAAATAATAGATGAATTCATCCGTAACCTACAATAACTTCACATTTATCTCCTCAGGATTTCTACAGCTGTGTACCCCGCATAATCCTCGTCCTACACTCCCTCCTAAAAGTGCAAGACGCCCCACTCATAGCCCACGTCTTCAAAACCTTCGCCCACATCTTCAAGACCACATGGAGGCAGATGCTAGCTGACATCAGCTCTGTGTTTGATCTGTTATCACCGCTCTTCAAGCCTCCGACCAAGCATTATGTGGCTAACTTCACTGCGGAGAGTGTTGCGTATCTGATCAGGAAACATCCTGAACCAGAGGTTTTGTTGGGTTTATTGGAGGAGAAGATAGGGCAGAGTAGTGGGTTAGTTGCTCCTGTTGCAACCTTACTTTTTGAAACGGTTAAAGGTGTTCAGTACAAGTTCAACACACATGCTGATCTTTATCTTAATCTTATATTGAAGAAGAGTAGGACATCGAAACATTTTCAGAATATTTACATCGAAATATTGAAGCTTGTTGCGATAAAAATCACCAAACCGGAAACTCAAATCATATGGGATTCCCTGATTAGAGGTTTATCCACGGAAAAAGAACCGTCAGAGTTCTTGATATTTGTTTTGTCGTGTATTGATGTAATGTTGAAAGGAGGACGCCACACCTATCTGATATCCAGCTCTGATCTGTTATCTGCTCTGACCCCGATATTCAGTCTGTTGAACGGAGATGAGGGGAGGTTAGAGGAGAAGTTTAGTGTCACTGTTGTGAACTTTATCCGTGCTCACAACCATCTGATGAGGTATTTGAAACAGATGGTGTCAGCTGATGATAGGTTGATGTTGTCTCTTTATCTTGATCATCATAAATCAGTGAACTGTCTGCAATCTTTGATTAGTGTGCTATGTGGTATGCCAGAGTTTTATGATAATTACTGTCCTGTGATCTTGGAGAAGGTTCAGAGCTTTGATCTCAGAACTTATCTTCATGTTTTAGCAGAAATCTCCATACACCGTGAAGCTGGAAACATTCTTGAAATACCAAGCATATTTGCTGAATCTCAGCCTGAATTCAAGAAATCTGTTGTTCAGCTATTATCAGATTCTGGGTCAGACACAACTCTCGCTTTTCAGTGTTTAAAAGTTATCCAAAGTTTTACCAACATTGACGATGACTCTATAGCCTCGCTAACCAACATGTTCAAAGCCCTTCATCAAGACAAAGACCAACAATATCTTTACCTGGAGGTTATAAAATGTTTATCTCTCTTATCAGTAGATGAGAGTGACGGATTGCTGCAGTGGGAGGAGGTGGTAAATATGGTAACTGAACAAAGTGGTGATGTTATAGTGTTGCAGACTGTGTTTTTCTACCTCAGACAGTGCGGGCCTGGGTTTATAGAAAGGTCTTGTTTTGAGAAACTCATGGAACTTCTCAAAGTTAGTCTTTAAAAATTCTAAAATATGTTGTTTAATTTCCTTTCTTTTCATCACAATAATCTCTTATATAGCTGACGGTAAATTGTGCAACGAATTTCCTCCCTACTATATTATGTGTAGTTTCCCAGCTCACACCTTATCGCACACTTTTCAGGATAACCTACTAAAAACGAGTACCTCTGTACGGTACATCACACTGAATATCCTATCACTGTACACGGAAGTGGAGGAGATATCCCCTACAACAAGACAGGATATCACTGCTGCACTTAGTGCTGAGAGCACGCCTCTTACACTGGAGACTTATAGGGATAGATTCATGCATTGTACCCTGCTGAGGTAACAATATATGTGCTGATAAAATGTTATGTTAGGGAAGGTGCATGTTATCATCCACCTTATGGTTATGATATTTTAGGTTGATTACAAGTTGTTAAATTTGGTTGCATGTGTAATTTAAAATATTCACTTTGTGACATGATGGAATTGATAATCATTAAAACAATCATTGAAAATCTCAGGTATTCAGCCTCGACTGAAAACACGGATTTTAGAGTGAGGTATTTGTTAGGCAGTTTGCAGTGGCCGCTGCGACCTATCTGGGAAGGACTAACCAAACTTATAGTGGAGTTTGGCAACGCTGATTCAGCTACCTTTTGGACCATATTTAGTCAGGTATTTGAAATTTAAAACTTTTTAATGGGCTCTAATCATCAAAAGTGTAACCCACACTTTTTAATTTTATGTATTTCTGGTAATCTTTGGTACAAAATATGGTCCATTATTTATCCATTATACCTTTGTCTTCATTAATTAATTTACTAGGTTATGGGCCGTCTTTACGATACATCTCATCGTGAAACGAAAATGGAAATCGATTACCCAACTTCAGAGTATGGTTTGTGAAAATACAAATATTGCGTAATTTTATCTTTTTATGTGAACTCAAGACAATTTTATGCTGGCTATTCTGAGTTTTTTACTACTAACACTACTAACGCATTCTTTATTCTCCTCAGTCAGAAAAATAGCGACCAGCAATTTCTCAAATTCTGGTCTCTTGGTGAAGGACATTGATGACGATACATTCCGGAATTGTCTTTGGAATCTTCTTTCGGAAGTTCCACACATTGCTGAGCCTAAGTCCAGATATTTAGTTCCTATCATACTCGAGTTCCGGTAAGGACTAAATTTATCTAATTATTGAGTATTGGTTTTAAAACCTTTTACCCGTACCTCTAAGTATTGTAGCGGCTTTTACCTAATACATTGGCCCTGAAACTGGCAAATTTTACACGCGGTGCACATGTCTTAGTGTTAAATGTGGAGCGCGCAAGATTCTTTCTCTGTAAAAAGTAAATTGAGCATTCTATTAACGCGCGTTTTTATCTACAAAGACCTCGATCAGAATATACCACGAATAATGTACGGATTTTGTGTCGAAATTGCTACACATTTGAGATCTAATAGATAGTTTCACACAGGGTGAGGTACAACGAGGTTTACGGATTTAGAAAGCAAGATATATCGCTGAACAGAATCGTTAAAGCAAGTGGTGAGTAATTAATCACATGTAACCCGACGACCCTTCACTTTTTCACATATGTTTTCTAGACAGCGCTATCTCAGAAGAAATTCTCTGAGACTACGAACCTAAATTCTGGCGAATTGGTTTAATCAAGCATTAACTGGGAATGATTAAGAGCACATTGATAGAAGACTGCTCGATATTCAGTTATTTCATCATAGATATTCAGTTATTTCATCATAGATATTCAGTTATTTCATTATAGATATTCAGTTATTTCATCATAGATATTCAGTTATTTCATCATAGATATTCAGTTATTTCATCATAGATATTCAGTTATTTCATTATAGATATTCAGTTATTTCATCATAGATATTCAGTTATTTCATCATAGATATTCAGTTATTTCATTATAGATATTCAGTTATTTCATCATAGATATTCAGTTATTTCATCATAGATATTCAGTTATTTCATTATAGATATTCAGTTATTTCATCATAGATATTCAGTTATTTCATCATAGATATTCAGTTATTTCATCATAGATATTCAGTTATTTCATCATAGATATTCAGTTATTTCATCATAGATATTCAGTTATTTCATCATAGATATTCAGTTATTTCATCATAGCTACCCTCCCACTGAAAATACCCAACTCCTACAGGCGGTAGTAAACCCGAGACTCATATAAACGATGAGCTGAGAGCCATGTTGAAGCTGTTATCTCAGTTTAATAACCCTAAGGCATTGTACAAGACAGATGAGTTGCAGAACATGTACTCAGAGCTACTGTCTAACAAGCAGACCGATGTTCAGGTAAGTTTTGTCATATTAACTAATAATAAGTTCCACGATTTAACCGGATTGCTTTTATGGAGTTCGATATTATGTGATCTAGATTTTAGTCTTGGAGATCAGGAACTAAGTGTCAACTCCAGTTGTAGTGGCACGGTATGTTTTACTAGTAGAAAAGTAGAGTAGTTTTCTTTCACGTGCTCAAGTATGTCCTATGAACTTAACCATTAACTAAACTCCTTTAGTTAATAACTCTATTCCATTTCAGAAACTAGCTTTAGAGTGTATGATAACGTACAAAGATGCCTCTTTAACTGAGTATAAAGAAGATATTCTAATGCTGGTGGATGATGTCAACTTCCGAGATCAGCTTGCCAAGTTCAGGTATCTTAAATATCATTTATTATGATAAATATATCCTAATGTTTATAGTATTGCAAATTGTTCAGATATTACATGATAAATTCACATACAAGATGCTTATTTAAGATGACAACTATAAGATTCCGAAACTTACAATGGGATTTAGTCTCGAAAATAAATTCCAATACGTACACATGACAAATCTCGCTAACGTTTCTTAACCACCCCACCATCAGCGTGTCAGGGGAAGGAACAATCCTAAAGCCAGATCACAGAGCAGCAGTGTTCCCCATCCTACTGAAAATCATGTTTGGTAAGATGGGTAGCAGGATAGGACATGCTAAGGGCAAAGCTGGGTCCAAGCAGAGACAAGGCATCGTTCTAAGATATCTGGAGGTTCGTCATTATTTATTTTTATTGGAGATACTAAGTTTAATGAGATGGTAATCATTTTTGTGGTCTAAGTATGATTATTTATTTTAGAGTCGACAGTGAAAAATAGGGACATAATATTTTAAATCGTTTTATCACAGGCTTGCTCAGAGGAAGAGATCGGTTTATTTTTCGACCTTGTAGCCTTGACATTTGGGATCAACGAAATCCATCCAGGTAACTGTTCTTTCTCCCTGTTTTTATCTAATCAACCCTACCTGCTCATATGGTAGTGCATAAATTATCTACAATTCATTTATCTCAAAATATACGTTCATTTTTCTGCAAAGTTAATACAATCAAACTATTTCAGACTCCACTCCATCCTTCTCGATCACGCCGCTAGGAATGCAGACCTCCTACCTCCGCCTGATCCGCCAGACAATCTCAGTCCTCCACGAGGACCAGACCAGACCTCACATTCCACACATTATAGACACAGTGCTGACGATGTTGCACTCTGTTCAGCACTGCTTGCAGCGCCGAACTGAAGTGATGCCTCACACTCACACCCCCCTCAAAGCGCTGCGAGCGCTCACTATTTCTACCATAACTCATGTTTTGAACGCGTTTCCTAAAGACGATTTGACGGCTCACCAGGCACGAGTGTATGAGGTTGTTGTGGATGTTAATATTGGGAACTTGCCCGCGGAATCTCTTCAATCCTCCTCTCCTCTACTCCTTCTCATTGAGTCCTGCGCAATGCACAGATTGTCATGGTTACAGCACACATGTGCTGGGAAACACGTACTTGAGTACGTGATAAGCCTGTTACGGGGTAAGGGCGTGGTCAACGTTGTTATCAGCAAAGTATTGACAATAATAGCGTGTCTACTAGACCATGGGACAGCAGGACAAACCCTCCTACTTCCTTATCTACACCCAGTGGTCCAGTACATTCACCAGTCTCTGTTGTCCTTGAAAAAGACCAAGAAGAAGAAACATGGACCAGCGGTTTCAGTCAAGAAAACGTTAAAACAAGAGCTGGACCTGCTGTCCCGCATATCCTGTCTGATAACAGAAATACCTGACATGTCACTGCAGACATCGTGTGACGCGCTCATCAACACTCTTGTGCACGTGCTGAAGGAGCAGATAGTCCGGAAGCCTGTGGATGTAGTGAATGCTGTGGACACTATTACTCAGCTGCTGGTTTGTTTGAAGAAAACAGAGCACTCTGAGTATCCTCCCTTACTGGACACGTGCTATCAAATGTGTTGTGTGCTGTTCGGAGATAACAATGACAAGGATGCCAGAAAATCCCTCTGTAGATTGCTAGAAAACACGGGTCACCCCAGTGCAAACATACTCCACCAGCTACACGCCTGGAACATGAAAGTGCTGGATGAACCTGACTTTGATGCTAGGTTACAGGGATTCCGAGACATGTCTCAGATCCTCAACTCTGACATTCCCGTCAGCGATCTAAAGTTGAGACTGTCTCCGTGTCTCAACACTGCTCTCTACACTGTGTTCACCTCAGAGGAGATGGCACTCCGAGACTCTGCCTCTCATGCTGCCATCCTCACCATAGACTTTGTCAAAACCACCAGCAACTCCCAGATTTACACCCTTATTATTGAGGAGCATATTGTTAAATTCCTACAGAGCGGGCTCCGTAACCCTGCCGAAGTCTTCCAGCGTGAAGCCATACTGCTCCTTCACAAAGTTGTTCAAGCCTTCCCTGAGGTTGCTCCCTGGAACCACCTAGCTCCTCTCACTGATGAAGATCCGGAGATAGACTTCTTCAACAACATTACACACATACAGACGCACAGACGTACACGTGCAGTCACCAGGATGAAGGGGTCTATTGAGCAGGCTAGCGTGGATTCTATGTGGAATTATCTTCTCCCTATTCTGTCTCCTGTCTTCTCTCTTTCAGGGTTAGTCTTTTCTCTTAGTCTCTTTAATTAGTGATTATTTTTTGAATAACAGTTTGTCGTACGGGGTAAATTTGATGTGCAAAATTTTAAAGTGGAATTAGTCAGTAGTCACGTTTCCAACTTTGCTAGTAATAAAACATGATAACTACAATTAATCGTGCTGTATAATTTCCGAAACCAATAGTACTCGACATCACAATGGACAATTCCCTGCCCAACCACCAAAAAAGACAGCTGTAAATCGAACCTTACTAAACCAGAGAATTACACAATTGATATTGGAATAAAATCAAACTACATTGCTTCAAAAAGACAAATCCTGCAGCAGACTCTCTTTATGAATTATTTACAATAAACTCCACTGTAGTGTTTAGTGTTTACACGGTGGAGACGGTGACTGCCATTCAAGTGGCCAGTAGGAGTAACCAGTGTGATGTCTACTGGTTCGCAACAGGGTATAGTTGTTGGGAAGGGACAGTTGTTGAGACAGATGTTGGGATGAACGACGGTTTTTTGCGACGGGCTTCAATTTTCAACTTTGTTAAATTCTATTTTATCCGCAATTTAGTTTTTAATTCTCCTGGGACCCCCTCGAAATTCAACCGAACCGTTTGAGTTATAAATTTGAGATAACCAAAACCTCTATACTGTTAGCTGTTAACACAGGGGTACACAGCTAACAACTATATTCTTTACTTCTTGGGAACTGAGATATATATTATATATAATAATATGTTGTATATGGTAACCAAGAATGGTTACCAGTCTTACACCACGCTGCTATAAACTAGTATATCAAACAGTAACTCCCCCAGGAACAAGCACCACAACACGATAACAGAGGGCTTGTCAGTCCTTACAGAAATGTGTCTCAAGTTCCCCTGGGCCAAGTTTCTCAAGCTTCTCCAGAAGTCTCTCAAGGACCTGGCTGCCAAGGTGGAGGATAAGATCACTGTCAAAGTTGTTGGTGCTATTCTTGCTGGTAATTGTCTTGACTTTTAGATCACGTTTTATTTAGTATGAAAAATAAATATTTCACCCAATTTTATCAACAATTTACTGTACAATAATTTACTGTACTATAATAAAAATAAAACACTATAGCCCCCCCCCCCTCCATTATACCGAGAATTACTATCCCCCATCTCAGGATTCCACGAACCCGTTGAACCAGGCAGTAAGATCCTCTCTACCATTACAAAACAAGTCCTGCCCAAGATGCAGGAGTTCCTGACAAAGGTAACCACGGCTCCTATAGAACGGAGCAAGAAGAAATCAATCGCTTACGAGGAGGACCAAGTCGCTGTCCAGGTTAATTTTTATCTTTTTTTTTAAATTTGTATATTCATATTTAATGTTGTTATTTGCTCTGAAACTTTGGGTTTTTAAATTTATATTTATTCGTTTATCGTTGTTATTTGTTGTTAATAGGCTCTAGATAAATTTATTTAACCTAATGTTCCATTAAAATAAGGAAAATCGCTAGATCAAGGAGAGATAACTATTATCACAAATCTTAATATACATCAGAATCCATCTAATAACACTTAGACCTTCAGCAAACAAATCCAATCTACCGAAAATTCCACCAACCCCTTAAATCTTTAAATTTGTCTTCAAGGTACCTCATCACTTGCACCACAGCACGATTAACACCCCACCATTCAGGCACCAATAGCGATATCAATAGTGAATCTAATCACGAGACTGCCTGAGGAGGAGAGACAGACTAAACTTCCTCCTGTACTGTTGAGAATTTGTAACACGCTGCGTAACAGGTGAGGAGGAGGAGGGGTGACAAATTAATTGTTTATTACATTTGTCAATCATAGTACTCCGATTATAAATGGCGGTTAAGATGTGTATTTTGATCGACTGAATTTACTGAGACTCTTTAAAAACCGCTAATTCTAAATCGGTCCACTATAATTTAAAGCTCGTTTCATTAACTTATGAACAAAGTTAACTACCCACTTGTTATTTCAGAGCGATGGATGTGAGAGATGTATCCAGACAGACGTTATCCACTATAGCTAACAGTCTCGGACCTCTCTACTTGGGTTACATTCTCTCTGAACTCAGGGGCGCTCTGTCTAAGGGGTACGTAACGGAACCTTTCCCTAATTTTATTTAAGTTAAGTTTATTTTATTTCATTTAGATCAAGTCTATTTGATACAAATTAGATTCGGTTTGAGTCTTTTTAATTTTGTTCATAACTTATTATTGTAATTAACTTATTATATAGTTTTATGTAACGATGAATTGAACCAACAGCTTGAGCTTTCTTAGGTATTCCTTCTGTAATTTGTCTACTTGGTCCACAGAATGAACTAAAACTTGGTTAAAATATTTAACATATTACTGATATAGTGGCAGTAGCTGTAGTATTTCCGAATTAAGACGTAATTACGAGGTTAAAACTCTTCATAAGTCATAAGTTCCATAAAAGTGTACTTAAGTAAAATGACAGACATCCATTATACAAACACAGTACACATATTGATGTTCATTCAGGTAGTCTTTATGCGAACAGTTTTTCAAACAGAGATATCAATAAAACAACGTATTAATTCACAGATAAATAAAATAAGTTAAGTTTTCAATTTGGCAGTATCAAATCAGTGCAGGGGGCAGACTTTTTCGGAAGAACAAATTTCGCTGAATCATCGACATATCAGACATCGAGATACTTTACCCTCCCTGAACTGATTAAGCTCAAAGTTTATACAACAATAAATGTTTTGGTCGACTCATGTGCACAATTCGGTCGGTAATAATTTAGTAAGTTAATAAAAAGTCTTTATACATACAAACGTTTTAATCGACTGAAGAAAAAATTCAGTCTGTAATAATTGGATATGTTCCAGAAGATTCCTGATCACAGGCCCGTATCCTCCACACGAATATTATTAATTTCATCAATTTTGATTCTCCTATCGACTGTTAGTCTACGTACTGTTTTAGTTACCAGCCACTCAATAAACTGGTAGAATGTAAAGAAGGAGAGTCCAATAAAGAGATCAGTCAGACCACCAACATTCGCTGAAATGTGAGGCATTTAATTAATATTTAATAGGTTATATTATAATAAGTCATTTAATTGGTCATTAGTCATCACCTACTGAAGAATAAGTTGAGAAATTTGTTCATTAAATCACAAAGTTTGATTTCCCTAAAGTTTTTAGTGGTTGATATAAAGCTCTTACCTATAAAGCTGGTTATTTCATAGCTAGGTGTCTGTACAACATTTATTGTGCTCATCTGGTCAGTGTAGAACACTATCTTCACCAAGTTCTCTGCTGCTTCTTGTTTAGACTCGTACTTTGTTATCTGAAAGTAATTTTGTTACCAGAAGTCAAGTTAAATGTATTGATTTCTTCTGCTATAGTTACGTAATAATTGATTGTTTGGATAATTGGATGTATTGGTTGTCCTGATTTCCTTGTGAATGTTTGACACGATTGAATTAGTTTTATGAAAAGGACAATAACAAGATGTAAAATAAGAGTTGAAACAGGATGTAAACTAAACTCACTATTTCACTGAGATAATTATCCCAGTATCTACGTGTGGGGTAATTACTGTCCGATACATCGTACAGGTACTCATTGAAACTACAGGGTTCGTAGCACGTGGGAGGGGTTTTAGACTTGCCTGTTTCATCTAAATCATCATCTGATGACATTAGCGCATCTGAAAACAGAGGGATTAGTCGAGGGTTACGGTTTACGCCATTGCAAGGAGTTCTTAATTAACTGTTTCAGCAGGGCTTTATTTGTTAGTTTTATAAGGTTTGTATAAGGTTTTACTATAACACTGCTGGTCCAATGTTCAGCACTTGTTACAGCGGTGTCATTCCTTACTGGATCCTTGTTCTGACTTCATTTGAAACAAATCACACCAAGATTAAGAGTACTTTATAAATCGAATAAAAAACTCCTCTAGCAACTAAATATCACTAACTGAGTGCACTAACAAAAGTAAAGGGTAACTAAAAGGTAACTAAAGGGTAAAGTGTTACTCACTCATAATCTTATTCTTACAAGCAGCCCCGGCAGACACAGAACACTGTTCCATGTTGTAGCACTGCGTGTCACCCCACACTAGACCTGTTGTCTTTGTGTTTAGGGATATCTTGCTGATCTCTGCTCCTCTCTCGTACAGCCAGCATTCGTTAGCGTTCAACATGTCTGGTTACCAGAGGTTCAGTTAGTGTTAGGATATCTTACTTGTTTTATATAGATAGATTTTTTATTTGGAAATTATTTGTTTATTATTACATGTATTAATGCTTTTCATACCAAGTTACAACAAAGTCTTCATGTTATGTATCCTGGGTTTGGACTGGATATTACCCGCTTGAAATATTTCCATCGCGTTACATAATACTCAATAAATGTAATTAGATTTGTAGTGTTGTAATTAGTTTTATATTATGTGAATTAGTAAGTTTTCTCATTTGTTATCCGTTGAAATTCCTGTACACATCAGTATGCCCACGTTCAATTTAATTGGATATTTTTATAATTTTTCTAGTGCATTAACATAAGAGTTAAAACAAGATAACTTTTCGATAACAAGATTGCTTAGATAAAATAATTATCATGATCAATACCGAACATTTCATACCGTTAGTGGTATTGGAGAAGATAAAGTACCGACAACTGCTAGTACTATCCCGACACAAATCCTCGCACTTCTTCAGAGATGTCACCTCAGTTAGTGTCTCTATTCTGTTGCTACTCGGTGTGTAGCCGCTGTCGTCGTATTCACATGTATCTTATAGTTACATTAATTAAAGTATGTAAAAGAACGGGGTTGGTGGGATTGGGAGTAGCCTAAAGTTAGATTAAGTTGAGATCTAAGAGTTAGAGAGTTGAAAGAATATTATCTAAAACTACAGTTTCCCAAAAAGTAACAAGATGTTATTATCAAGCTTTAAAAAATGTATTAAACTCTCCCCTAAAGGTAACAAAAAGACAAAAAACCAACCAGTAAAATTGAAATTGTATTCGTAGGGCAAGGTCTCAGTCCAGGCTTGAACGAGCTTCCACTTGATACTGGGTTCGTATTTAGAGTCCTCTTCGTCCTCGATATATCTCTGGTAAAAGTACCAAGGGTAACATCCGCACCCCAGGTGTCTGAGCTTAGGGTACATCCACAGCATCTGCAATATGAGGAACGTTTCTTTAGCACTAGGCTGTATGATCAGCAGAGGCACCATCTAGTTGCAGTGGAATCGCATACAAATTATACTAGATTATAAATCGTAAAATCAAAAATATCGACAAATTTGCGAATATTTGCCGCACTCGTGACCTGTAACAATTATCGAGTCTGAAAAAAGCGATTATGATTGCTCACAAGGGAGAAAAGTGTTACCTGGGCGAGATAGCACTCTTTGAAAGACCAACTGCCCTCATCGTCGAATATATCCTCGGCGTCTACGCAGTTCCCCCACGGTTCTGACAATCTTGTCACCTGGTGATAAGAGGAATTGTAGGCTCGTGACGGTGCCGGTTTCATCTTGATACATTGTGTTCTGATTGGTCAATTTTGAAGCATTCCAATTTCATGGATATTGATGATTTTCATACAAACAAGTTAAAACAAATTCTTTATGTCGTGCATCCTGGGTTTTGATAAAAAATTTCAATAATAGGAAACATCTTACGGTTTTTGTTCGTAGATTTATGTGGTATTCTTTACCGGGCGCAACAAGGAACCCAAATTCTTGACTGAGAACTGTCTCGTTTGGCATTCTCAGTGTCACCATAAATCCTGCTTGTTCCTGTGGGAGGAGTGGTTAGGGATCTTCATTTTAGCATATTATTGAACATTTAATTTCAGTTGGCTTTCGAGACTCTGGATGCAGAGTTCAGAAATATTTGCATATTATATCAGCTAAACCTAATTGTAAATGAGGGAAATATTTTAAGCATTTTTACTGCAGCAAGAGGTCTGCTATCTGCTGATCTAATCTTCCAAACACCCTAAATCTCAAGTTATTACACCATAATATAAGATGATTTAGCCTTCCGCTGTGTTCATAGTGCAACACATACGAACTGTTCGGTTATCTGATATCACCAGATTCAGACTATCAGCCATTAACTAATAATAATAATAAAGCGTGTTTATTATTATTATTATTTGATATAGATAAAACGTACCGTTTCGGGCAGATAATGATCAGTCTTGGCATCCAGAGTCAAGGACAGACCACCCGCAGCTCCGTTCACTCTTTGGATCAGCTGCTCATCGTCATTCATCTCCATACACATACCTTTCTCCGTGTACGCAAACGAGGTGAACTCTTTGAAGTCGGTCGGCTCTTTCGCAAAACTATGGGAAATTTGTGTAACGGTTAATTTGAAAACTAGGACGCATTTTTGTTGTTTACTTGTTAAACTATGGGGAATTTGTATACGTTTAATTGCAAAACTGTGGTGCATATTTGTTGTGACATTGTTGTTTTGGACATGTTAACACGTACAATGTTAACTCGTTAATAACAGAATCGTGTATTTCCATCCTGTACGTAGTGTATATCTCCTCCTGATCCAATTCTTCGTTAACCTCTGTCTCGGTGTCGTCTGCCGAGGAGTTTCTTTGCTGGAAAGTGAAATAGCTTATTTAACAGTTTGAAGGCTGAATTAATTAGAGCCAGTGACAAGTGATAGCATTTTGAAATAACAAACGGGGAAGTAAATTCAAATTTAACAAATTTAACAAATTTAACAAATTTAACAAATTTAACAAATTTAACTAATTTAACAAATTTAACTACAGTAATTCAACAAATTTAACAAATTTAACAAATTTAACTAATTTAACAAATTTAACAAATTTGACTCACCCCATGACCAACAACCCATTCTTTATAGGGAATGTATAAACCCGCCGCTTCCAACTTCGTATAATTCAGCAGGTTTAGATTACATATTGTTACTGAAAAATAATTGGTTACTTGTATAAACGTTTTAAAAAGGTTTGTCAAGTGTTAATGTAAGTACTTTACTTTGATGACATCACTAACTTTATAAAGTTACTAACTTGATGACATCACTAACTTTATAAAGTTACTAACTTGATAACGTTCCTAACTTAATAACATCACTAACTTGATGACGTTACTAACTTGATGATGTTACTAACTTGATAACGTTACTAACTTGCTGGTAAGGTGTAACTGGATGACACTTGGTTGAACTCCAGATTATAAGACTCGTACAGGTAATACTGTGCCAGTAGTTGGTACACAATGTAGAAACAGAACACAGCCATCGTTAGCAACAGCCCTAACCAAACTACACTGAAACAGTAAGATGTTGTTGATCGTGTTTCAAACCAGGGACCAAGGTAGATTAGATACAGTTGTCCCGACTAAATGGTTTCATTGTATGGGCTATGATATGGGTTGAAATTGAAGTGCTACATTGAAAGTAAGTGAAATTAAAGTGCTAAGAGCTTGAGTTGGAAACACTTTCTATTTTGGAATAAAACGTGAGCCCTAGATAAACTAATACTGGAATTAATTCTCAATTGGTAAGAAATCTTACATGCTAAAACAGGATCTTCTCTCCCTGAACAGCTCATCTAGGTAGTTGTTGCTGATATCTTTAAATCTGCGGGAAAGTGTTGTATCATTACCTTATATGCTAGTGTTACCATAGTGCCACTACTATAAGGTAAAGTTGGTTATGTCTTTTAAATCTGCGCAGATAATATTTTGAATAAGTTTAGATTGAACTCTTGATCGATAAAATTGAGCTAATAGTTTACAAGTTCGAGAAAATGGCATCGGTTTGTTGCAAGCTGCCAACTAATAATTCAAACCTGAAAATGAACGGGTAGGACTGTGAATTCTTTTCATTTTCCATTTCTGAACTTTTTCTCTCCGCTGAATCCACTAAGTTAGGTTGTGAAGATAAGGTCGTTATCATAATGAAAGACAAATTATAATGGAAAAGAATTGTTTGTGGAGATGTGATATTACTAGTAAGAATAATTAGTGGTTTTATTTGCCTGCTGAGCGAATTTGTCTTATTAAACCCATCACAGTACTACAATACAAATACAGTGGAATTGCGTTACTTTTAAACGATACTTGGACATTAGCCAAACGTATTCTTACTAAGCGATTTAAAATTAGATAATATTGTACAAATTTGATCAGAAGAGACAGTTTTTTCAATCTATACTTTAAATCAAGATACTAAAAACATCGTATCCAATTCCAAGCAACTGTTTCAAAACATCAGAAACAAAAATGAAGTTCGCGTGAAATGATGACCACAAAAAAAGGAAAATTCACAAGCGATGCTTGGCATATCTTTTTAAAAGATCATTGTCTTTCCTGTTGAACAAGTTGCCAGGAAACCTATAACTCTTGAGAGAGTCTGCAGCTTACCAATATCAGAACAAGATAATGACGATATATGGAACAATAGTTTTATAGTTTAGCATGCTAGACTCAGATACATTTCATGTTGAGCATTTACAGTACGAATGTACTGTGTTAAGTAACGTTAACCGATCTGATTCCGTCTTTTAAACTGTTAAAACTACAACAAAGCAAATGTGCATAAACGCTGTAACTCTACAATATATGTAGATCCTGCCTGTAAAGCCACAGCAACACAACAGCGCCATTACATAGTTCAAGATGACCACAACAACTCCATTACTGTAGAATGTACTGCAAGGCTGCATACCTCTATTACATATCTTGGGTTACATCATCATAACAAAGTGTTTAACAATGGGCCTTTTTTTACATCGCCCTGGATATTAGACTGTGTAATGTTCTTGTCTATCAACATTAGTCCCTTAACAACATAACAACAACAGTGGTGGTGTCATTAGTGACTACTATTCATGAGACTGCCAATTGTTCAGGCTTACTCTTATACCACTTACCGCAGAACATTATCCATAACATTAACAGTAAACGGTTATCAAACGAGATTACGAGTTTGAGCCGTTCTTAGATAGACTGGCATGGCTACAATGAGAAATAAAACAAACGCGCCATTTCGTAAACTTGCCCTTATAACATTACTCAACCTCAGTATATGTATAATTCCAGTTCCGCTTTCTGGAACATCCGTAATGATAGCTTAACATGCTTGCCACAACAACAACACTAGACTACATTTATAAGCACAACAAAAGATAATTTGGTTAGGGAAAGGGGCTTTGGAAAAGCTAATGATTTAAATACCATTTAAAAACACAATACAATTAAAAGCACAATAGCTATGACGTGTAGAGTACGTAATATGTGAAAGGTCCATTACACAAGTTAGTCGGATGTACTACCTCATGAAGAGTTGCTTGTAAAATGTATACAACATGTATAAAGGGATTTGAATGGGTGATACCGGTGATGGGATTCGTCACCTATTGTACATTGTGATTGCAAAATGATATCGGGCACAAGGTCAAACAAACAAAAGTGAACAAACCAAATAAACATGATCCCACTCAAAATAGGAAGAACATGTCTCCTCATAATATATCTATTATCAAGTTTATTACATAAAAACGACATTAATGTAATTATTATGATTATACTGTGAGCTTGGTTTGTCGCGACAAACATACCTCGCGATAATATAGTGACTACTCGCTCTACTTGCATGTAATTATTAGCTTGTAAGGAGGTTAGATGTCAGGATCATGCAGCTCAACAGCAGTGAGGCAGCCAACTCGCAGTTAAGTCAAAGTGTGATGTGCCGAGAGCGGGAATTGAACTCATTACGACCTCCAGATTATTGTTCGGATGCTGTAATTGCAATTGTCCACCTCCTCCTCCTTCTCCTCCTGGGTCCTCCTCCTTCTGCTCACCAGTCCTCCTCCTCAGTCCTCCTCATCCTCTTCATCCACTTACTTCTCCTCCTCATCAGTCCTCATCAGTCCTCCTCCTCCCAAGTCATCCTCCTCCTCCTGGGGCCTTTTCCTGTGTCCTCCTCCTCCTGGGTCCTCCTCCTCAGTCCTCCTCCTCTTCCTTCTCCTCAGTCCTTCTCCTCCTCAGTCCTTCTCCTCTTCCTCCTCCTCAGTCTTCCTCCTCCTCAATCCTTTCCCCAGTCACCCTCCTCCTCATCCTCATCCTCCTCATCAGTCCTCCTTCTCCTTCTCAGTCCTCCTCCTCCTCTTCTTCCTGGTTCCTCCTCATGGGTCCTCCTTCTCCTCCTCAGTCCTCCTCCTCTTCCTCCTCCTCCTGGGTCCTCCTGATCCTCCTCAGTCTTCTTTCTCCTTCTACTCCTCAGTCCTCCTCCTCCTCAATCCTCCTCTTCCTCCTAAGTCCTCCCCTCCTCAGTCCTCCTAAGTCCTCCCATTCTCAGTCCTCCTCCTCATCAGTCCTCTTCACCAGTCCTCCTCCTCAGTCCTCCTTATCCTCATCCTTCATCTCCTTCCTTCATCTCCTTTCTCCTCCTCATCCTCCTCATACACCTCCTCCTCATCAGTCCTCCTCCTCACTGCTCACTCCTTCTCCTCCTCCTCCTCCTCCTCCTCTTCGTCCTTAGTCCTCTTTATCAGTCCTCATCAGTCCTCATCAGTCCTCCTCCTCCCCAGTCCTCCTTTTGGTGCCTTTTCCTGGGTCCTCCTCCTGGGTCCTCCTCCTCTTGGGTCCTCCTCCTCTTGGGTCCTCCTCCTCATCCTTCTCCTTAGTCCTCCTCCTCCTCAGTCCTCCTCTTGAGTCCTTCTTCTCCTCCTCCTCCTATTCATTCCTCCTCCTCAGTTCTCCTTCTCAGTCTCACTCCTCCTTCTCAGTCCTCCTCCTCCTCTTCTTCCTGGTTCCTCCTCTTGGGTCCTCCTTCTCCTCCTCAGTCCTCCTCCTCTTCCTCCTCTTTCTGGGTCCTCCTGATCCTCCTCAGTCTTCTTCCTCCTTCTACTCCTCAGTCCTCCTCCTGCTCAATCCTCCTCTTCCTCCTAAGTCCTCCCCTCCTCAGTCCTCCTAAGTCCTCCCCTTCTCAGTCCTCCTCCTCATCAGTCCTCTTCACCAGTCCTCCTCCTCAGTCCTCCTTATCCTCATCCTTTATCTCCTTTCTCCTCCTCATCCTCCTCAGATCATACACCTCCTTCTCCTCATCAGTCTTCCTCCTCACTGCTCACTCCTTCTCCTCCTCCTCCTCCTCCTCCTCCTCGTCCTTAGTCCTCTTTATCAGTCCTCATCAGTCCTCATCGGTCCTCCTCCTCCCCAGTCCTCCTCATGGGGCCTTTTCCTGGGTCCTCCTCCTCTTGGGTCCTCCTCCTCTTGAGTCCTTCTTCTCCTCCTCCTATTCATTCCTCCTCCTCAGTTCTCCTTCTCAGTCTCACTCCTCCTCAGCCCCCCTCCTCTCCCTCCTCAGTCCCCCTCCTCAGTCCCCCCTCCTCCTTTTCCTCTCTTTCATCTCTCAATAATTTGTTCAATTTATAATTATTGTTGGTGTTATTGTTAACATAATTTATTGTTATATACTAAAATGTTTTTAAGCGCATTTGAGTCTGACTCAAAATGTGCTCAAGAATCTTTGTGTTTAACAAAGTTTTACTCTCCAGTAATAAAACTTTTCATCCCTTTTTATGTTATTAAAAAATGTGTAGACTATTCTTTGTGCCTAATGGAAGATTAAAAGTTTGAGAAAGGACCATGGTCATTAACCGGGCTACCCATTTCTGCAGATAGCCTGTTACAAATTGTGGAGAAAATTTAAATCAAAAGTTACAATTTTTGTCCGTTTTTGTCCGTTTGGCAGCTATATTTTCAAAACGGACAAAAATTAACGGACAAAAACGGACAAAAACGGACAAAAAATAACATGATCCCCCCCCCCCCCCCCCCCCCCCCCTTATTAGCTTGTAAGGAGGTTAGATGTCAGAATCATGCAGCTCAACAGCAGTGTGGCAGCCAACTCGCAGTAAAGTCAAGGTATAATGTGCCGAGAGCGGGAATTGAACTCATTACGACCTCCAGATTATTGTTCGGATGCTGTAATTGCAATTGTGCTAAATTACCACTAATTGAGCTACACATTACCGCTAATTGTGCTACATTAAACTTATCATAAGAAAAGTACATATAGAATATCTTACATTTGAAAAAAGGGTGATTGCGTCATGTAGAGTGTTTCTGTATATAAGTATATAATAGTTTATATAAAACATGCACAGAGAGGACATTTGCGTCGCTGAAACTCTGAAAGTGCTTCTTATGTTATAACATAATGGAACTGATTCCATCAATTTACTTCTATCTTCAGCAATATCCATTGACCAACTCGGATTGTATAATATTCCTAAATTACATTTCAACAACTAAGGTTTAGTTAATTACTACTAACATTACTTGATGTACCTCAGTCTTCTCATACATTCTAGTCATATCAGGCTAGCAAGGGGGAGTCCCTTAGATAATATTACGTAACGTCACACTTTACATGACGTCACACTTTACATGACGTCACACTTTACATGACGTCACACTTTACATGACGTCACACTTTACATGACGTCACACTTTACATGACGTCACATTTTACATGACGTCACACTTTACATGACGTCACACTTTACGTGACGTCACACTTGACACTCATTGCTCATACAACAACAGTTATAGACAGTATAAGCAGCAGATAAAACGACAACAACAACAACAACAATAACAACAACAAATCACAAGTAGAACAAATGTATGTCTCCGTGTCTCCGGGTAGGCTGAAGACTTTTACTGTTAAGTAAGGATAATGTTGTGCGGTAAGTGGTGGTATAAGACTACCCCCTGTGTAAGCCTGGACTATTTGCGGCCTCATGAATCGTCCAGTAGTTGATGATGACACCACCACTAGTTTTACTGCGAGGTGAAAATGTTGACTAAACGTGTGTTTCACTATATTCGCAATTTTAAAGAGTAAAACCAAAAGTTGAAAAGTAAGCAAGAACGTGACCCTCCCCTCATTGAACAGACAAAGATTATCGAAAATAGAATAGTGGAAAATAAATACAAGTACACCGTAGTTATTGTAAGAAAAGGCACCTGGGAACACAAAGCTTGGGAGTTGGACCCATATTGGTTTAGTCATACATCCGGACTCCAAAGGTGGCCTACATGATGACATTGATTATCGAATCAGGCTGAATTATCATTACAACCTGGAACCCTGTGTAGTATCTTGAGGACATAAACCTCTTTAACCAGAACGTTTGTTCGTAGTACAATATAACGTCTCCTGTGTCTCCTGTGTCTCCTGTGTCTCCTGTGTCTCTTGTCGTTAGTATCAGAGAACTATTTATTCTAACCCTTAACTTCAACTTGTCTCTAAACTTAACCCTACTCCAGGTACCAATTACACGTGCTGTCGTACACTATGCACCATCTACTGCTGCACACGGAGCTCAAGCCAGCTGATATAGACAACTCCACTTTGCAGACCATCGCCGAGGTTCGTGTTTTTACTGATTCAGGTCTAAATTGTTCGGGTTATCGTTTTCCTTCGTAGATTTGTTTCTATATTCTATAGTAATTATAGTAGTGATACAAATCAGATAATGTCAATTTTTGTATTAATCTAAGCAGTATATTATAATATATACTGCGTTTTAAACTGATTACAACAGTTAAAATCAATTACAACACAAATCTATTACATTTATTGAGGACGTTACAGAAGGAATAAATGTAATGTAGTTTGAGGATTTCTCACTCTCCTCACGACCAACAATGGCGTTTCTCTTGTCGCTAATGTATAAACTAGGTGTCCAATCCGGCTTCAACTTTTTTTTAAATCTGCGAATCTAGGTTTCGAAAAACAATCCGGCATTTTTCATGAAATCTGATCTTGAGAAAATTCGTTAAGTTCGACAATTGTTGTTTGTAACAATAATGTGCCCATTTTTTGCATTATTTTATAAAACATACCCCGTCCACCCCAGATTTGTGTAGACGGGCTAGTGGGCAGGACAGCAGCTGACAGAGACAGAGGCCACGACAAGAAGAACACCCTGCCTGAAGCTAAGAAGTGCTATAGTTCCCAGTGTCTGGAGATGTGTGCTACTGTGGTGGCAGTCTCTCAGTTGGAACTCCTCATGGACCCTGTTAAGAGGGTTCGTTAAGCTCGGTTATATGACAAGGGTTTTGAGGAGATTGTAGAGCTTTGAAGAATGTGAAATTTGTGCACTTGATCCTTATTTGGCATTAAGCCCCACTATTTGTTTGTGGACTCTTTAACTCGATGCTCCTCCTTTTATCATATCGTTGCCTAATAATACAGCACCCTCTCCGATAATACAGCACCCTCCCCTCAGATGGTACTGGAGACAAGAAGGAGCAAGACAATTATAAAGCTAGAAGACCTGCTAAAATGCATGGTGTCTGGTCTCCTCAAGAACCCTCTCATCACCCCCACCGTATCCATGGTCTTCTGTTACAGACTCCTCAACGACAGTATTGCTATTGAGAAAACTCGGAGAACCTCTGGGTTGATCGCACCAGAGAAGACTGATATCTACGAGATACCGGAAGCTCCGAAGCGGGACGGTGTAAAACCTAAGCTGATAAAAACGTCCAACATCCACCTTCTCCACCAGTTCTCCCTGCAGATCCTGTCAACTCTTCTGAAGCGAGGTGTGGTGACGACTAAGGAGCACGGGGAGCTCCTGGACCCTTTTGTAGGTTCTCTAACAGAGTGCCTGGCCTCTTCTGATGTCAAGACTCAAGTGTTGGCTGTGCGGTGTTTCTCACAGCTGTTCGAGCAGAATGTTCTACTGCCTAGGCTTTGTGAAAATGTTACTGAGCTGACCAAGTTTTCTTTTCATGTGCTCAGGAATAATTCCAGGTATGGTGTTACAGTTTTGAAGTCTTTACTATCTCAAATTAAATAAAGAATTCGATATTTTAAAAATCGATTTACGACTTCATTTATTTACTTAAAATCAATCCTAGCTACAACAACAAAAAAACAATATCATTATATCTGTCTGTTCACATGGCAGTCACTAAAACTAACTGCTTCAACCCTCGCAGGTCCACAAACTCTGGTCACATGTTGGAGCTCATCTTCTCCTCCTTCAAAATCTTAACCGTTATCTTGCGAGAGTACAAAGACTACTCCCTGTCAGAGCTAGAGGTTAAGACACTTTTTAATACTTTCAACACTACTATATAACAAATAATTTTCGATACGTTATTCAACTATTTATTTCCATTTGATCTTCACTGAGTCTATTCAGAAACAATCAGAAACTTAAATGAAAGAAACACCAAATCACGTAACTCAATAATAATAATAACGACTCAACCAGGTTAAGACACTGTTACAGTACATAGCAGATGATATCCACAACAGAAATAGACAAGCCACCGCCTTCTCCCTGCTCAAGTCCATTTTAACACGAGACATTGTGTTACCCGAGATCCCTGCGTTGTTGGTAAGTTTGGATTTTTGTAAATTTGAGTTTTAAACGAACATTATAGGCTATAAGTAATGAGTATATTATGTCCAAATGTCCAAATATGCACTTCTTTTCATTATAATATGAAAAAATTAACTCGAAATGAATTCAATTTCATACCATTTTGCATAGAGACAAGGTCAGATACAAAACAGCACCACTGATAAAAATAACCCTCAGGAGCGAGTATTCGAGATGAGCGTGGTGGGACAGTCTGACTTTGTCCGGACCCAATCCCGGCAAGTATTCCTCCACTACCTTCTCCACTACCCCCTGGGTAAGAAGCTCCGAAGCTACGTTGTGTCCCTGACAAAACAGCTGGAATACACCCACAAGGATGGGAGAATGTCCGCCCTCGAGCTCCTTGGTATGCTCGTCTCCAAACTTCCTCCCGATCTTCTTAAAGAATATTTCCTTGTGGTTTTCTTGTCACTGTCCACGATGCTGGTGTCAGATGAGGATGCTGAGTGTAGGAAAGGTGGGTGCCTTTTTAGGGTTTACTTTGTAATCGTCAGGGTAAAGAAGATATAGATCCAGATAAAATATATTAATCTATATTTTTATTGTGGATGATACTTCAATTTTAGGTGGTTTTCTGGACTATTGATCAATTACTAATACTCCAGTAGCAGGGAGGAGTTGAGTGTGCACTTCAATGTATAGAGTTTTTTACCGCCGCGAGCGAAGAGGCCGGGGGCTCAGCCCCCGGAAATTTTTTAACTGAATTATATCCTAAACCAATAAGGTATCAATACAGATTACAGAAGGTTCAAAGCAGTTGATAACACACTTGGTTATTAGTAATATTTTGATTTCAAAACATTGGACAAATTAAGATTAAAGATGGCACGAATTTTAAGTTATTTCGGATATCTCCAGTCTAAAGAGTGGCAGTATGGTTGAGTGTACGCTATTTGGTACTGGATCTTGATGTCGCATGATTCTAATATAATGATAAATGATGATTTTGTACCCTTCTGATTAAGACTGATGCTGATCCTCTAACTCTATTATTTCACTGACTGAGGTTTCAATTTCTGAACTTTATCAGCCTAGATGCCAAGTGGCTATCATCAGTCATCTAACATTATACATGAAGAATGAAGATACTAGATCAAAGTATCAAAGTCCATCATACCACGCTGATCATACCTGAGCGAGCTGAGGTTTTGTATTAGATAATTAAAGTTACGATTATTATAACTATACGATATACGATATACGTTATAACGCCTACTGGTTATAGTTTTAGTGTAGAGAAAAGTGGTTTCTAGGAATCTAGTTTCACAAGCATTTCTTAACCCGCCTGCTGACGTAACCTTGTCAGCCTAAAACGTCCCTAAAACTTGACCACTATAGGCATAAATTTGACCACTAGACATAAAGTTGACCACTAGACATATAAAACTTGACCACTAGACATAAACTTGACCACTTATTTTGCTTTCCACTTATTTTGCTTTTCACTTATCTCATGCTGTATAACTAATACTATGAGTAATATGTGCACATTATGTAATCTTATTGGGAGCTGATTGAGACAATTGACCACTACAAGTTGGTGTCTTACTGACCTCAGACTCAATTGTTAGTTAGTACAATGTTAGACTAAGTGGACAAATAAAAGGCTATCTTGGTACCCCAGGTAACTCCTACTCCGTTTTATGGATCTAGATTATAGAGTACGCTATATAAATATTGACCATATACCACACTAGATATAATCACAAACGATATCAATCTATTTTCATGTTTACTAGACCGGAACCAAACAGGAGAATTAAAATTATACTCAAAGGTTCTGAAATTTCCAACTGTTATGCTGGTTGCTAGATGGCAGAAAATTGTCTAAAAATTACCTAAACGTTTTGAAATTTCTGATTTCGTGCACTTGTCATTGAACCCTGTGATGCTACGATAAGGACACGGCAATAGTTATTGGATCACAAGCAGATACTATTTGTCGAACTAGAGTTCGACACGTACCGAAGTTCGACAGGGTTGATTTCTGGCGAACTTAAGTTGTCGAACTAAAGTGCGAATCTTATCAGATAATTGTCACAAACGATCTATAGTTATTGATTTGTGTTTTGCTTGTTATTGAACAATGGACCGCTTTCTAAAACTTACTGGGCGGCGAGAGCACCTTTGATCTAGGCGAGATACTGGCCGGGGTGTGGTTTGATTATTTCTAAGAAAAAGGAATTCCGATCATTTCTTAGTTCTTTTATTTTCTTATTTTGTATATTCTTTGTCAGTGCAGTTTTTTTCCTGCTCATTTTGGGTTAAATTGACTACCAGTTAAAGGTCAGGGGTTCAGAGTGGGACTAAATTAAATTATACAACTTTCTTAGATTCAATATTAAATTGCAGTTAAATTGTGGCTAAAGCTGCCAAGTTGTAAATTTTTAACCGTGTTAAAAATTTTAAATGAAAATTAGGCATTACCCGGAAAATTGGTTAAGATAAGGAGCAAATTATTATATAACATTGTTCATGAACTAATTAGTGCTGCACGGTGTATAATCAAAAGTAAAGACTTTTGTAAAATTCAAGCGTACTCCATTTTACCGATTTATAAAAATTTCACATGAAACGAACTTAAATCATGATTCTAAATTGCCTCTGACCTTCACAGACCCACAATTTTGAGCAGGATCAATATTTTGATGTAAAGAGGGTCTGATGGCAAAATTTAAGATCATGTCATGAGTTATGTCATATTTGGTGTCGGATGATATGATTTGAGATCAATTTCACATCATCATGGGACATGAGCCGATCAAATTGAATATTTAACAAATATATGATATCTAACTTAGCACTGCAAATACATTATATTTCTACAAAATGTATCTAGATTATATTTTTTTACTCGCACCCCAGTGAAAATCGGTTTTTCTGAATTTTTCCAAAAATAAGCATTTTGGGCCTTCATGACCTTCACATAATAATATAAACATGTGCATTGCGGTCATTTTAAGCCCAATTTTAAGTCTCTAAGACCTTCAGAAGCTGAATGTGAAATATGGGCGTGGCCCCACAGGGTTGGGACTAGCAACACAACATGCGGCGCTCGTTGATTTGAGTTACCAATGAACTATGTATTTAACCCGATTCAGCAGCAAAAAAACTCTATACATTGAAGTGCCTACTCAACTCCTCCCTGCTACTGGAGTATAACGTAAAATCTAGGATATCACCTATTTTATACCACACAGTCCAGGTATTCGACCTCCTAGTTGAAATGTATTTTCCACCTTATCGGACCTTATTTGGGCGGAAATTATGTGGACGGAAATAATTTTGGGCGAACTTCAATATGAACGCAAACATTTCTTAGAACGTACATGGTAGCTGGACTATAATTTGGGCGGACATAATGTAAACGCTGAGACCTCCAACGCATGCGTTATGTCTGACCAAATAAAGGCTTTGGAAATAAAGCATAATTCATAAATCTAGTTCAAAGAGATCCTTCTAGTGGATACTCTCACCTCGTACATAGTCACCCAAAGCAAGGTGGGCATCCATTTCATTACCATCCATTTTTACCGGAGTAAACACATAATCAATTCTGATGTAGAAATTCAAATCAAGCTCACAAATAATGTTTGATTTTAGGTGCGGGTATAACTGTAGCGGATCTGGTCAGCAGAGCAGGAAATGATAACCTGAGAGAAAAGGTCTGGAGTCTGACTGCTGCCTGGCTAGCTGATAAGAAGGTTGCCTGACTGGTGTTACCTCACCTTATTCTTATATTTGTTTTAACCTGTTGCGCTAATTTATTAAAGTTGTTAAATTAGAGCCATTGATCATGAATTGTATCTTCGTTCAAACCCTTACGGTTGTAATGTATTTTCAGCTGAAACACAAATACCTAGCAGTCCTGCTGATGGACTCTCTTTCTAAACATCTCACTACCAAACGTGCCGCAGGTACTTCTTTAACTTTGTGTATCTCTGAGGAGTTGATATACTGGTGTCTGGTTGGTTAATTAAAACAACATATCCTGTTTTAGTGTTAATGAATATTAAAATATAACTTGTTTCAGTGCTGATAGAGCAGTTGGTAGGTGTTGTGAACACGTTTAGTGTATGGGAGGGAAAGGAGGATAACGCTACCTCCACCAGGGACCAGGTAGCTTTTAGTTTCCAGCCAAGTTTAACTTTACTGGTACGCTAGTACGCTAGTACACTAGTACGCTGGTACGCTGGTACGCTAGTCCGCTAGTCCGCTAGTCCGCTTGTCCGCTAGTACACTAGTCCGCTAGTACACTAGTCCGCTAGTCCGCTAGTACACTAGTCCGCTAGTCCGCTGGCGATACAACCACACAATTCAAGCGGATTTAAAATTTGAACCATCCAAGAAAGTTTTGACCTCTTTTTAATGTACATGAATAACCTCAAACTTCATTTTTACTGTATTTTTACTCGATTTAACCTCATTTCTCTCCTCAGATAGTTTACACGGGTGTCCTGACCCTCCTGAAGTTAAATAACATGTCAGCCCTTCCTATCTCCGTGTACGGTTAGTGCTGTAAACTGTAAAGTTATAAATCAATTTAAAATAACATTCTTTGATAAAACTGGAGTAAACTTAACATATCTCTGTAATCCTTTCTGACTCACTTAAAAGTGTAGATAATCGCGCATATTGAACAGTTAAACTGGTCCCCGAATCAAATAACCCCTACCTCCCCAGATCGGCTACAAGAGTTGATGTCCTATCCTCACCAGTGGGTCAGACTGGCTGGATGCCAACTTCTCGGACATCTCCTGTCTGGACACAACTGTAGAACTGTACTTACAGCAGCTCCTTCCAGTCAGATTCTAGGAGTCAACCCCAGACACAAGGTTACATTTTGGAAACAATTTTACTTAATTTATTGTTATAATTATCAATTTTATTAACCACAAAAAACATATTTCCTACTAAATTATTTAGTTTTTAGTAACGTATCCCTACTCTTGTTCAGGTGGACGAGCTGATAAAGCTGTGTTTACTGCAACTCAAATCTACCAATGTGCTCCCTGATCACGCGCTACAGATTGTTAAGAATGTGGTGTGGCTCACTTCTGCTCTGCTTTTCTCCCCGGATGGTTTGCAGAGGAGTTTTATTAATTAATTCTATAAATTAATTCTATATTAATTAATTCTGTATTAGTTAATTCTGTATTAATAATTCTGTATTAATTAATTCTATAAATTATTTTTATGAACTAATTCTGGTTATCAAATATTTATTGATGACGGTGTTCATCATAAGATCATAGAGCAGCATATTCTTATCAAATGGTGGCAACGTCTCACTCTGCCGCAAGCTTAGAAATGAAACATTTTCTTTTTAAATTTATTAGTTTGAGTGGCTAACAGTGTTAACATTTATTTTATGTTTCAAAATAAATTAATCATAATACTCCTTTTTGAGTAAAATTTCAAATAATTTCCCCCTGTTGATAACCATGCCAGGCGACATTGGTTTAAAGAAAAAATATGTAATCAATTAAAATATTAGTTCATGATAATATCTAAAAAGTTAAATCTGTTCCTAACAATAGCATGTGATTCACATCAAGTTTCAATCTATCCTCCCAGATAACACTGAAGAAGGATTGTTATCTACACATGATCTGATTCACCGTCTGGTGGTGGTCGCTAGTATTGAGTCTTCTCAAGATCCAACCAACACTCTCAAGCGAGGTAGCACTTTTATCTCTGTAATGTAAAACATAAATTAGTATTTTATAGGTAAAATATGAAGTCACGGATTTGTTTAAGAGATTTTAAACATTAGGGCATGCAAAATGGGACTACCTCACGTACACTTTCATTATTAAATTTACTTTAATAATTACATTTTTTAAATTCGTTACCAAGATACACAGTAAAGATTGGTTAATAAAGATGAAGAAAAATTTAATGAATCACGAAATAAATGTCAAACTTAATCAACAAGTTTAAGAATTTGGCGTTTATGAAAGTATAAGATGGCTTGGTTACCGGAGCTTTCTTTACCACTAATCGTCACAAGGATCGTCATTGTGATTTTCTTTGAAATGTTGGATAATACCTCTGGTCATCTTAACACCGATAAATTCGTCTGAAATTAATTTTAAATTGAACTGATAACTGAAGATCGATGGCTTGTTGGAACTTAATTAAATCATGTTACCGACTAAAAGTTGTGACATATAGAACTCGTTATATTAAATAAGAGACACGGATAAGTTTTAAAATAGGGTTCACGTGATAGAAAAATATAGCTGACCCCACTATTTACAAATAATGTAAGGTTGAGATATGAAATCAAATCTTCGGTGAAAACATTGAGCTTAAAGAAATTTGCTTACCCCACATGTTTAGAATGTCGCTAATCTGGGCGCCACATTCCGCCTTACCAACATCATGTTTCTGTAAGTGATTTATAACTCCCTCTGTGACGTTTACTCCAACGAATTCCTCTGAAATGAACAAGTTTTCACAATACTTCGGATTGATTGATTGTTTAAACTTAGATAACAAAATAACAATTGCATGGGTGAAACTTGCAGACATAAGTGTCGTGGTCATTTGAATAATTGCTTGATTCTGGACAAATATATTAAGTAGGAACATATAACACTGGATAGTTGGCTACAATAATTCTATATATCTCACCCAGTAAATCCCATGACCAAGACTTCAAATCATCAAGTAGTTGCCCAGTAAATATTTTATGATAGAACGATTCTGTATATAGAATGTCCCACATAGTTATATTACTGAACTTTATCGCCCCTTTCAACTGAGATTTAGTGTCCGTCAATTCTACAGAGCATGTGTTCAGCTCTTCTTCAGTCAGGTTAGATCTGGTGGTTACAGTCTCCAGGCTTTTTCTAGTCCTACTAAGCTCATCTTCAGTCCGGTTACACCTGCCAGTTACAGACTCCAGGCTTTCTCTAGTCCTATTCAGCTCATCTTCAGTCCGGTTAGATCTGGTGGTTACAGTCTCCAGGCTTTCTCTAGTCCTATTCAGCTCATCTTCAGTCCGGTTAGATCTGGTGGTTACAGTCTCCAGGCTTTTTCTAGTCCTACTAAGCTCATCTTCAGTCCGGTTACACCTGCCAGTTACAGACTCCAGGCTTTCTTTAGTCCTATTCATCTCATCTTCAGTCCGGTTAGATCTGGTGGTTACAGTCTCCAGGCTTTTTCTAGTCCTACTAAGCTCATCTTCAGTCTGGTTACACCTGCCAGTTACAGACTCCAGGCTTTCTCTAGTCCTACTAAGCTCATCTTCAGTCCGGTTACACCTGCCAGTTACAGACTCCAGGCTTTCTCTAGTCCTAATCAGCTCATCTTCAGTCCGGTTACACCTGCCAGTTACAGACTCCAGGCTTTCTCTAGTCCTATTCAGCTCATCTTCAGTCCGGTTACACCTGCCAGTTACAGACTCCAGGCTTTCTCTAGTCCTAATCAGCTCATCTTCAGTCCGGTTACACCTGCCAGTTACAGACTCCAGGCTTTCTCTAGTCCTAATCAGCTCATCTTCAGTCCGGTTAGATCTGGTGGTTACAGTCTCCAGGCTTTCTCTAGTCCTACTAAGCTCATCTTCAGTCTGGTTACATCTGCCAGTTACAGACTCCAGGCTTTCTCTAGTCCTACTAAGCTCATCTTCAGTCCGGTTAGATCTGGTGGTTACAGTCTCCAGGCTTTCTCTAGTCCTACTAAGCTCATCTTCAGTCTGGTTACATCTGCCAGTTACAGACTCCAGGCTTTCTCTAGTCCTACTAAGCTCATCTTCAGTCCGGTTACACCTGCCAGTTACAGACTCCAGTCGACCTGTTACTGTTTGTAACTCTTCTTGTGTGCTATCCAGTTTTTTGGTGACTGTAATCAATTCTTCTCTCATCGCATTAAGTTTCACATCTTTTTTTTCAAGCTGACTCTCCTTGAATTCTCGTATATATCCCATATCACACGCAGTAACTTCAACCACAGACCCAGATCTTGCCTTTTCCAGTACGTCCTCCCAGCGAAGTGTTCTACTACCAATAGTCTCCTCTACTTCAGCACACAAACCTCCGTCTGATATTCTTTTTATCGTACCCGAGCTGAGGATTTCATTATACAGATTAAATCTGTACAACTGACCACCAAATATCCAACTACTACCGTAGTTTACCAGTCTATTAAACCACACAGTCCCGCTAGAGTGTAGTTCTCTCCAGTTCCCGGATGAAGTCTGGCCACTAGCTGCTAGTTCCCCGTCCAGGTAGATCTGAATACTCCGTGAGGAGGAGGACCAAGTCAGACAATAATGGAACCATTCTCCGGCCGGGGTATTGAATTTACTGTGTGAGTTCTCTAAAACCGTATCACCTAGTACTCTGTTGTATTCCCCGTCAGATCCAGTCAGTATCTCGAAAGCAGTAGAGCTGGTTTGGTAATGAAACACGACTGGGTAGGAGGATGAGGTGTGCACTCTCTTAATCCAGGTACACAGGGTTAAAGCATTACGGAACGGGGACATATTGTGGCTGAAGCTTATGTAGTCTCTTACAGTGGTCCCAAACTGCAGGGCAGTGTACTTTCTGTCCACTGTTTTAGCAACGGGAGATACTATGCAGATTGTGAGAACGAATAGGAGAAACATTTTGGAAAGTTTCAACTTTCAAGTCAGAAATAAAACTAGGGTTGATTTCTCGAGACTGTATTCACGAGGTTAACAGGACAATGTAATCTAGAGAATCTGATTACTGCAAATGTGAATTTTACCAGAACCGGAAAAGTTTTAGCGTTATATAATCTAGCAGGGTGGCACGACAAAGCCCAGCTGGTATGAACCAGAAATCTGACGATTTATCTTACATATTCTAATATTAATTTTACATATTCTGTATGTTAATACCTGGATTCACCAGAAGTTCATTAACATAAATGCCGATAACATTGCTCTCGAGTGATTAGGGGACTTCTTACGATTATATGGTACAGAATATTGTCTCAGATGCTACGCTACTCGACAAATTAACGATATTTTTAGTGGCGCAGTTCCAACTTTTTGAAACATTCTAATGTGTACAATCGTGTATATAGCCCTGAGATGTGTAAAAGTAGAAAATTAAGCAAATGTCTCGAGATATAGAGTACGCACTTATTCTCAGCTACACGTGTTATCCTCTATCAGGTATCATACTAAAATGGGTAGGAGCGGTGGTGAACACGGTAGATAAAGAAGTACTGGCACCCCACCTGCCAGCACTGGTAGCACCTGTACACAGAGAAGTCAAAAACAGCACAGGTAAATGTTTGTTCGTCAGTTTGTTCGTTAAATTGTCTGTTTTTGTTCGTTAATTTATATTCTTTAAACGGTGCAGTGAATTGTCTGACATGACAGATACTACCACAAAGTTATTTGCTCTCATTATTAGACACAATAACAGTGTTCATAGATTGTTGTAATCTTTTGGCGTCTAAAATTTGAGTTTATTTTGTTTAGTTCTCGGTTCGCTTAAAGTAACCTCAGCAAGTTTATATCGAATTATTAATATTCAGGGGGAGCTTTAGCTTGTTTCAATAAGATGCGACTTCTGTCACCTCTCTGCGACAGGAGCCTATTTCAATAGGATGCAACTTCTGTCGCCTCTCTGCTACTTTTGAACGTTAATGATGGCCGATAGGAACAAATTTCCCTGACTTAATAATTAAGTTATGAAGTAATTACCCGTTAGGAGACACTGATTAGGTTATAAAATTTATGGTGGCGACACTTCCCTCCCAAATGGTTTTATCTGTTTTTATGTTGATTTTCTCTCTCGATTTTTATCAATTATAAGTACTACTAATTTTTATAATATATTCCCACAAGTGGAGGTTACTCCACATAATATTATTTTATAAAAACCGACCGTCAGTTAATTTATTAACCAAATTATTCCACATCCACGTTGCAGTTCTCCATGATACTTTAAATTCCTTACACAATAAGTGAACACGTTTTCTTGGATACCTGCTAAACAACCTGTCTCATTACCAGGTCCGGTGTGTGATATGGCAACCGAGGTGATGTCGTTCCTTCGGGACAGACTTGGTAACGAGACCTTGTCTCAAGCTCTAATAACCGCTGATAAGACCCGGTCAGAGAAAAAGAGGAAGAGAAAGAGAGAAACCGCTCTTGCTGCCATTGCTAACCCTGAGTCTCACGCCAAAAAGAAGGTTAAAGTGAATTTGGCTAAGCGGGAAAAGAGGAAGGAGAAGTATAAGAAGTTGAAAGCGAAACAGTTTAAATCTCATTGATTGTGTAGATTTGTAGTTAATTTAATCCGATATGAAATTTCAGATAGGGCGGAAGGAGTATGAGTTTTTAGCTGGATTTTTGACCAATATTTTTAAACCTGACTTTTTCTTACTGATCAACCTGCTAACTTAATTTTAAGTAAGTAGGTTAATAAGTAAGTTAATTATTGTATGGTTTCTTAATATTAAACGGGGTAGCTGATTTCTTACTAAATTATTACTTTAATTTATTTACATTTTAACTGTTGACTGGCGATGGTATGACTCTTTTAATCTCTAAAGCTTTAATATGATAGTTACAGGATTTCTTCACGTGATTTCTTTATCTGTTATCAGTAATTTTACTGTTATAATATGGGTTCCTCGTTTTAAGATTGTTTCACAGTTACCAATGAGTTTTGTTTCTTACTAGAAGGTAGCCAAAAGTTTCAGTCCTTCAGAATATCAATAATGACCAGGTCATTTAGTATTTTCATCGCCAATAATTTAACAATATTGGAGTCTACAAAACTTGAAACTTGGACCACTTAAAATTCAACAGTAGGGTAGATCTAGAGTCTAGACGGGTGATGTGCTATACCTTTCGCAACATGACAATAAAAACATGGCAAACCTAGCATAAGCAAGCCCGAGCGTGCTAAATCACTCTACAGTCAACCTTCGAGATTGTTCTAAAAGGGCCCCCGATGGTTGTAACCAACTTCAATCGATGTATTTTCGGACGCTGATTCCGAATCTCCCCCCATGACATAGTCTACTGGAATGATTCTTCGGAATTTCGCTGGATTGTACAACTTTCGTCTTGGTAGATTCCAAACACAAGGAAATTTTCCTTCTGGTTGGTAATATACTCAATGATGGAAGTATAGTGTATTGGCTATGCCCCGCTTACTAGTTTAGCTCTTTCTAGTCCCCTGCTACACGGCATGTAAACAGGGATTGGCTAGTTAGAGGCGGTCCGTGTAGGCCTTACACTGTGCTTTCAGCAATACTCATAGGGTTAAAATGCTCTCCTGACGAGATATTGGCGAAAAACTGTATCGATCACGTGATATGACCGTATAAGGAAGTTAGTATAATGTCTCCTTAGGGTTAGGGTTTCAGCATATGTTTTTGTTAAGGATTGGGTTAGGGTTAGGGTTGGGATCAGATTAGAGGGTTAAGGTACCGAAAACTCGTTCAGAACCAGCTAGAGAATGGGTTAAAAAAGTCACCTGACAGTCGAGTGTACTGTAGAGTGATTAATCATCATCCAGAAATTTGAGGACTTCGACGCGCTGCGCGAACTAGCAATCTTGCTTTGCATCGTCGATCGTTGCTCTGCTTCGCAGAGCAACCATCTCGATGGGTTGACATCGTCAATCAACACAGAAATTGACCATTGTTGATGGTCTGGCCCGGCGCGCGCTATTTCGTAGCACTTGCCATCGGGCCAGTTATATTTTGAGAAGAAAGCGGCGCGCGCTACTTCGAAGAGATTTAGACGAGTAACATCCGTCAACACAGAAACCTTTACTGGCTGGGGCCTATCTCCAGAAGTTGCTCTAACCAGAGCCCTCTCGCTTGCAGTAGCGCGCGACCACCGGAGGGCGGCAAAGATCCTACTTGTGAAACAAGCGCGTCACGCAGTACGCGTAGGCACATGGCTATGTGAACTCCAGAAGTAGAATAAAAATAAAAACTTTCGTTTTTTTTCTTTAAAACTTTCGCCTCGTAAAAATAACGTCCCATACAAAGAAATTCAATGAAGCAAAATTTTGAATGAAATGAGTTGAGAAAATGAAAATTTTCAGCTATTGCGAAAAGTTTTGTAGGTTTACAACCTACCAGGACGCGCGCCGAGTTGGACTCGTCGACGTAACGGTCCAATACATGGAACATCATATTTTACGAGTATCACCCGTTAAGAAAAGTTTCATTTCGGGCCAAATAAAATTGTTTAAAATTAAACTTTTTGTTTAAAAAAAGCAACATTTTCGCTTTAATGAAAATGCTGCAAGCTATGAGCACGTTTGTTCGCTGCGCGTGTTTTTTGCGCAAACTTTTAGTTTTGGTCTTAATTATAACTTCCACATTTTGCAGTTTCAGCTAACTAAAATATAAAAATGCATTAATAAAATAAATTTACCGTGAACATTGACAATTGAAGCATTGCTCTATCCATAGCCCTTTCGTTTGCAGTAGCGCGCGAACACGTCACGCAGTACGCGTAGACTCATGGCTAGGTGAAATTGAAGCACAATTAGCAAAATTTGTAATTTTTCTAATCTTTGGCTTGTTGCTTATGATTTTAATAGTTTTTTGTATTTTAAAATAGCTTTAACAGGTTGAATCGCTTTATTAAAGCAAAAATTTTTAATTGTACTAATTTAAAAAAATTGTTGAGTCCAAATTTGAAATTGCAAATTTAAAATTGGGCGGAGCTCAGCCTGTAATATAATTTTGCCTTTATCTTCATTCTGTTTATGAACAGAAAAAGCTTGATTCACGATGTCAACCACTCGCAGGTCGGTGAGGCCCAATTGTGAATTGTGAATTTTGCTGATTTACCGAGAATAATTATTTGATGCGTGGGCCGTGGCGTGGCCCAGTATATAGTGCATCGCGCTACGAAGAAAAAGCTTAATATCTTTTTACTTTTAGCTTGTAGGTTTATAACCTAGATATGACAGAATTCTTTTATCTTTATTAATATTTTGAGATAACGTGCAAACAATCTTGTGTCATGATCTACTCAAATAAAAAATCTTTATCACGTTCAACCAATCCATTCATAATTATATAGGCATCAATTAAATGTCCTCTAACATGCCTTTCAACTAGTGTTGTAATTTATAAGGACTCTGATCTAGTTGCTAGTTTATCACTGTAAGAAAGTGCTCTCACACTATCGATAAGGCGGGTGAACCGTTGATTGACGATGTCAACCTTCCCAATACAGCTATTTTATTACCGACTCATTAGTGCATTACAATAAAAACAGTGAGACTATCTTTTTCGGGATCACTACTGTCAAATATCGTACTTTACTTTAATCAAATCAGTGTCATCTAGTTTGTGGAGAAGCAAAGAATCCATTGGATCTATGTGTAATTTAACATTTGTGCAATGTCTTCACAGTCGACTCAGTGACTTGAATCGATAACGTCATTGAGAGGCCCTATCAAAAGATAAAGAGTCTTCTTAGGATGCGCCTCAGAGCAAGTAGACCAAAGTGGCTCTTGCTTGGTCAAGGTGCATCAACTACCCGCCGAAGCGGTAGGTCGGGAATACCCCTAGTATCATTTCGTCCTTAAAAGGATACCCGACCCCCTCAGTATATCCGCATAATATAATGTAAACATAGTTCTCTGTCAGAAGAAAGGTGAAGAGTACGAAAATATAACATTAGATGGATTATCGTAATTTAAGGCTTTTCGAGTGTGCTCAACTCAGTTGGTTTATTCTCATGATTACAGAATAGTTTGATAAATCATTTAAAGTGACTCCGCCAGTAAAATTTCTGAACTTGGCTTTCATGATGTTAGCAGATCAAAGTCAAGAGATACGAGTGTTCTTTAATAAATCTCCGTCAAAGTCATACCAATTACAGAAAATATCCTGTAGCATACACAGTATTAAGATCATGTTTGATTTGATTTTTTGTTAGTACACATTAATTGTTATGTTATGCGATAATTTGAATTTGAAACGCCAAAGGTTACAAGTGTCCTAGACAGTGGGCACAAGTTTTTTGGCAGTAATTTAAATGTTGTGTCAATTTGCAGCTGAACAAGAATTGCGCCCGTTGTTTCGTTTTGGCGGACGCTAGATTTCCATTTCACATTTACTATAAATTTAAGTATAAGCTCCAATCAGCTCACTTCAATCTTCATGATAATAATATAGATAAATTTTAGATTAGATTAGATTAGATTAAGAATAATGACATAAACATCATCACTAGTTTTAAACATTCTTTCTGATTTCCTCATTATCAGAACTGTGAACATTTCACAGCCTTCGTCATTAAAAAACAAACGAATTCTATAACTAACATAATTGTCATAATTTATTTACAAATAAAAAAGTTTAAAAAGTTAAAAACCGTTAATTTAAACAATAAATAAATAAAAACAAATTCATGAGATATTTATTCCCTTTCTCTTGGCAACACACGGATTTTTATATAAATATTGGACTTGTTGCTTCTTCTTTTCGATATAATTTACACCCTCTATTTTTGCTAAAACTATATTTGACACTTCCCAAAAGTTGCCTGTGTCTACTAAATTATTAGTCTTTTTAAATTCTTCTAGATTAATTTTAAAATCAATAACAGACACTGAATTTCTAACAAAAGATGGCAATTTATTCCAAAAGCTGATAACACGCTCTGATAAAAAATTATTAGACAAGGTTTTAATATTTCTATCAATATTGTTAGATTTAGTGCTAACAATTTTATCTCCCGATCTACTTAAATTGAAAATATCTTTTCCATACTCAACCAATCCATTTACAATTTTGTAGGCTTCAATCAAATCTCCTCTAACCCGTCTCTCTGCGAGTGTTGTAATCTGTAAGGCATCCAACCTTTCACTGTAAGGAAGTGTTCCAATATCATCAATAAGGCGTGTGAACCTTCTCTGGACATTTTCCAGTTCAATGATAGTAGCCCAATTCCCATGGCAGGCAGGTGGAGACCACAACTGAGCACAATACTCCAAGTGGGGTCTTATTATAGTTTTATAAACATTTCTCATAACATTAATTTCTCTTATAATGAGATTCCTTGTAACCCATGCAATCATACTGTTTGCTTTACTAATACAACTTTTAATATGTTTCGACCATTTCAAATCTGAAGAAGTTAAAACTCCAAGATCTTTCTCTGCTTCAATACATTCAAGTGTAACACCACTAAATACATATTCTTGAAGGGGATTTTCATTAAATGGAACATGCATTATTTTGCATTTGCTAGGATTAAACTTTAACAGCCACACATTTTGCCAGTTTTGCAAGCTTTCTAACATATTGAAAGTGCTTTCAGTGTCATTGGCATCCATAATAACTTTAAGATCATCTGCAAACAGTTTTGATATACCATTAATACAATCAGGCAAGTCATTGATAAAAATGACAAACAATAAAGGACCTAAAACAGACCCTTGTGGGACTCCTGATAAAACATCACGAAGGTAGGAATATGCTCCACCAACAAATGTCTTAAATCTTC